ACACATGCGTGAATCTGATTAAAAAATACAACATCAACGAATTTCATTTAAAATGTTTTGGTCAAATCAACTAATAGGATTTCATTTATTTAATTATTTAATGTAAACGTTACATTCATTAACACCTGTCTCATTGCTAGTAAAGGCACTGAGAAAGTATTAACTAATGAGTTTGAATGCTTATTTCACATCATAACACCATTGCTCCGATTTAAATAACCGAATATTTAATATTAAAAAAAAAATCACGCGCAATACGCAAAAATTCGTTTGAGAAATATCGGAAATTCGAACCCATCACCACTGAGCACTGAACGTACATGAATCAAACCTGATATTGGTAAATATGTTTAAGCATCGTAGTGGAATTCTTCAATGTGGGTTTATTATATAATCTATATATTTGGTATTCTTCTACAATTTGTCAAGTTTTATAATTTACCTCTTAAATATTTTATGAAATATAAAAATTTATTTAAATTTTTTTTTTATTTAGAGCCACAGATTTTTTCAAATGAAGAAATAGAAATACATTAAGAGAATGAGTAAGCTATTAAATGTTTTTTTTTTCTTCGTTGCGTATTCCTATTTCCTATTATTCCTTTATATCAGGCACAAATTATGGCCACAAAGGGCGCCCCATAAAAGGATTATTTCCTGAATTTCGATAGGATTGAATGCATCCGATTGAGCGTGTGCCAAATGGCGATTAAAAATTCGTGAACATGGAAATTATTGTCGGAAATTCTATTATTGGGTTGTTATAAAGGGTTATTTTGAGTGTTTTTATTGTAAACTTATGATGGTCCTTCTACAAATTTGGTAGTGAAAAATCATGAATTTCTATTTATTTGAAACCGACTTTTTCAAGATAAAAAGTCGCCACTTAGCCAACACATTCATTTTGAATTGCGTTTTACAGCAAACGAAAAAGTAAATAATAAACTCTAATAAAACTAAAATAATGAAAACGGATACATTACTACTGCTTTATTATGCGTTCTTCCATAGCATCATCAGCTACGGAATAGTTGGTTGGGGTGGAGCTTATAGGTGTCTGAGCCTGTTGCAGAGACACGAAAATAAACTTTTATCAATAATATATAAAAATGACATAAAAATCACTTCCCAGACCGACTCCTTTCATTGGAGTCAGTAACATATCATTACAAAACGTTAAGAGACAAATATCTTTACTCTTCGAGTATAACCAGAATTAAAAGCACACCAATATCACAAGGATCAAAAACAGTGTAAAAATAGTTATATAAGAAATATCCATATATTTAATAAGCTGCCTAATCAACTTAAAACTTTTACCATAGATAAAGCAATGAAAGTAAAACTTAAAATATTGATAATTACAATTGATAATAACTTATTATTTATTAATTTAATAAATTTTTAATAAAAGAAAATAACACTATATTCCGGGATATCATCCGTTCGCTTGTTGAACTCCGACTGGAATCCTGCAGACGTTTCGCCAAAATCTTGAAGATGCCAAGTGAGATTTTGGCGAAACGTCTGCAGGATTCCAGTCGGAGTTCAACAAGCGAACGGATGATATCCAGGAATAAAGTGTCATCACATTTTTCCATCCGTGAATCAATACGTGAAATATATATATATATATATATATATATATATATATATATATATATATATATATATATATATATATATATATATATATATATAGATTAAGTACTATGTACAGGCTTAACCGCGAACTAGTGAATTTCCACCACTGTGAGGGTTACTTGAATGTTCTATTTAATGTAATTAGGGTCTGGATAATAAATCAATAAAGAAACCTAATAAAAGCAAAAAGTCATTGGCGTATATGTCTTTCGCTAACAACTAACCAAATCTATTCGTTCGAGCCAGCACTGGCTTCACAACTATAATTACAGTTTTTTTAAATATTTAACTAAGCATGGTCGGCCCTACGTTTATATAAACTTTTTTTTTATAATGAATTTGCGATTGAGTAGACTTAACTTTAGTATGTCGTTGCTTTGTAGAGAAATTTTGTTGTCCACCGAATTATTTTAGGAATAGCGCCTAGTAATAATCTTGCTAAATGGAATTCAAATTTATTATTTGAAGCATAATAGTCTTAGTTAAGATCAGATGTCAGGACACTTTGAACGCAAAATGAGTCACATACGTAGCACGCCACTGGGTTTCACATCGAATGAGCAAGTCACTCACTGAATCTCAGCTATTCGGACGAATCATATTCACCCGATCGAGCAAAAGACGCGCGACTGACTGACTGCAAAGCGTCGAAGAAGCTCTTTTTCTCTCATCGGATGAGGCTTCATAAGGCCATAATTCAGTTCGGGACCCCGCTAACAAGGTTACACTCCTCGGAGGCAACCGTTCGGCCAAATTAAATAATTTAATAGCAGCGAAAGTTATTGTGAATAATCTTGTTACGAAAGTCGATCGGAGGCAACGAGCGAAGGGGTTTTTGAACTTTCCTCATTGGCATCAAGACCGAATCAAAACTGGAGTTACGATGCAAAATAGATAAAATTTGGGTTTTACTGGAATTTTATTGAATCCTCTACCAAAATGCACTCACTACATCTCAATATATAACATTACTTAAGAAAAATCGACCCTCTACACACATTGTTCATTTGAAATCATAGTTGTACATCAAAATTATACCTGGTAGACATTTAAATATTGAATTTGAATTTTCACGAAGCTCAGGGCAAAGATCCGTTTATTTCACTATAGTTACAAATCAATTTCAGTAATTCAAGACTACTTCCTATTTTGAAGTTCTTAAACATGCAATATCTTCATCAGTAAATGACAACATTATCTAGTTTTTTCCTATAGGCTCTATTTAATCCAAGTTCACTGAAAAACTTATTTACAAAGGCTTTTTCAAAAACCCAGAAACGTCCCCTACTCCCTACTTTAAAATACCCACCTACATGGGCAAAGTGCCACTTTAAAGCGCCAGCTTCGGTAGTCATTTGATCGTTTCCGGTATTTTAGTTGCGCGATTCGCTCAGTGAATACATTTGCGCTGTAAGAAAATGTGACCAAACACAACATGCTGAATAAAATACTCGCATAATATACATAGCAAGTAGTCTTTGGGAAATTGCTGACTTATATCATTTTCCATATAGATGTGAAGACTAGACTACTGGTAACAATTTACACAAAAATTTTGCTCTGGAATCGCTCCAAATCGGATGAACGTATTAAAGGGAACAATAAAAGATGCTGAAGCCCAACGTAGAGCGGTAATTTATTGTTCAATGAAGCTTCAGCCATGGATACAGGCTGCATCCGACCTATAAACAAAATGGAAAAAACCATTCCATCGGATTTTAGCAATATGGCATGAAAGTTAGAAAATTAGAAAGTTTCGAATAGAGAGAAAGAGATGCACTTTTACTCTAATAATGAGAATTTGAACTATTATCGCTTGGAGTCGCTGAAGTCCAGAAGGCAGTATTTAGCAGTATTAAGTATTAACTTTAGGAACAGAACTGTTAAAAAGTGTTTTGCGTACCTCTACTGAATTTGGAAATATTCTTCTTTTTAGCAATTCGTCTTGTGCTTTAATTGCTCTGCTCCAAGCAGTCCCTTAAGTAACCTTGTTTGTATAAATCATATCATTATTAGATAATATAGTGGCCCTGCTACGGTAAAAATTGATGGGCTATGTCTCACCCATTAATCTGCACTTTGCACCATTTTCTTTCTAAACAGCTCTATCCACACACTTAACTCCACGTTGCCTGATGATTAAATGGAATTTGGACATATTTTATAAAAATACAAACTTGTTGACGATCTGTTGTGGCCATGTTGGTTGTTTAATGATGCAAGGACACTGGTTAAAAGCGATACTTTAAGTGACATATCAAATGAGCCTTCTCAATTTTTTTTTCACAATTGATTCATAAGTGTTATCAGCATAGGAAAGGCATCTATATTTTCTAGTAGCTATATGGTATAAGTAAATAAATAACCCCCAACAATCAATTTGGTATGTAATGATCGTTCACTGTTTCTAATAATAATTAAAAAATAAATACGACGACAATAACATATCATACGGTCGTAGTAACCATGAACTGCGAATTCCGTTAAACTGCCAAGATCGCTAAAATAATAAAAAGACCGGAGATTTTTTGGTTCAAAACTAAGAGTGTCCAGCTATTTGAAAAAATACTGTTAGCAACTGCTAATTGTTATTATTACATTTAATATATTACTCAAGTTAAAATTAAAATATGGTGTAGCATCCAAAAAAATTCTAGCAACTTCCGTTTATTGGGGCAGTTTTGATAAAGGAGATAAGTAAGGATATTACTAAGTCCCTCAACATTTTTTTATTGAAGCTATTGTCGCAACAATTAATGTACAATCCCGATATTACGTAATTAGTTTGATAAACACTTCAGTTACGAGTTTGTTTTGGAACGACCTCAGCGATTTTGACATTCACACACGTTCACTGAGTGACGTAACATGCGACCATCAAACCTGTGACTAAAGTACCGAAAATGTCCACTTCAGATGCCAGTTTTAAATACACTATTTCCACATCCCGTAAATGGTGATTTTATGGTAGGGAGTAGGAAAAATGCGTTTTAAAATATAATTGGGCATGAAATACTGCTTGACTGTTTTTTTTGTTCGAATAACATGTATTAATAAATTAAATTAAAAATGATGAGCAAAAGTTATAAAAGATAGTAAAATATTCGAAAACGATTACACAGGAAGGTGGTTCGTTAAAGCTAAAGAAAAAGAGGATAAATAAAAACACGTCCAAGAAGAAACCGAAAAAACTATCAGCAATTAATAATTAATGGCCGCAAGTTACTTCAAAATCGACCGTTTGCCAATGAAATAAATTTGAATTTGCACATTATTGTAACGTTAAGTGATTTGAAATTTGAGTCAGGCGAAGGTGTAGAGAAGGGGGGCAAAATCCACCAAACTAAAGCACTTACTCTGAAGGTTCATGGACGAGGGGAACATTCCCGCCCTGTGGACGTCTTGCACGTGAGGCCTAGCACCCATGACCGCACATTGCGACCCACCAGGTGTATGGTGGACTCCCATCGGGCCAGCGGCCGTCGGATTATACGACCTGGCCATTGAAGCCGCGGCCGCCGTGTACCGATAAGCGGCCTGAGACATCTGACTGCAAGAAGTCAGATCTCCATAGGAGCACGGCATATTACCAAGTCCCGTTGGATCCATACCGGCCCCTTGGAGGCAGCTGGAATCGAACGAGGCCTGATTCAAGTAAGAGTAATCCATGATGGGTTTACGGGTATACGCAGGTTAGGTTACTAGAATTACTAGGAAGAAGAAGGCGATGAATATAAACACGTCACTGTGTATATACGGGACGCCTCAAAAGTCACTGTTTACGTATGTAGAGGCGATCGTTCCTAATTTTTCTCGTTACGGTTTGCAAAGAGGCCACTTGTAAACTTGTTACTTCCGACCGGTGGAGGAATAATCGAATCAGAAGTCCGGATATCAAATTATGGCGATTAGACCGCGCTGCGCGATTTTTTCAAGATAGCGGCACAGTTCTCCCGCGTTAGAACCGACTGTCTGCCCGAAATCAAATGATAAGCTTAATTCAATAACGTTGCCTCGCTCACCCTTCTTCGGCGGGGGGGAGGAAGCGTCGCAGCATCCCCCGGCGGGGCGTGGCCGTGTTCGAGGACAAACACGCCGACGAATCGGACTGGTCGCGTTACGAACGCCACGCGTCGCGATTGGTCGCGCCCGGTGACGTAACGGCACGCGACACGGAGGGTGACACTCGAGCTGCACGCACACACATGCAAGCGGGGAGGAGGACGTCACCAGCAGGTTCTCGAAGAGGAATATTAAAACGGAGTCTTGCACGCCGTGCAAAATTAAATTTGTATTCGGAAAAGCTTATCTGTTTTTCTTGGTTTGCATCAACAGTCGGCGTGATTTCTAGACACCTGTTTGGAGGGCGGCGTGAAATATTGCGAGGGAGGTGGGCGAAATAGGACGTCTGTGTGAGGCGGAAGAGATCCGACCGGTTATGGGACGTTCGGTTGCTATCCAAAAATTGAAAATTGTGGACTAGTTTTGAAATTTTCATTCAATTGTTTGAATAATATAGAGAGATATTTTAGAAAAATGTGAAAAAAGATTGTTTTGGATTATATTAATTTCTAAACAAATAGTCACCCAATTTTATTAAAATTTAGACCTAATAGACTGAAATTATTAAGACCAGTGGCGTGCATAACAAGTTGCAAGTGTTGGAAATATCCACCATCCATTTCCCTACACCTTCACACTTAACGAATCATTGGACGACGAACTCGAGTTAACTTTCTACTAGGGCTAAATTATCATCCTGTCTATACACCAAATAACATTACCAAACCATCCCAATTTCCAAGCACTTCAAGCAAAAATTGATAAACCAGTGGTTTCGAGTGACATGCAATGAAAATGTTTTTTTTTTCGAAAACGAAGTGAGATGCAAAAAAAATACTAGAAGCAAAGAAGTTGTCTTTTTAGATACTTAATCAAACAAAAAATATTAACGTTACCAAGAACAAAGTGTCGTGCATTTTTTTGCCAATAATATTCAGAGACGCCACTGGATTTAACTATTATTTTAGGGCTAAATCAAGCTATTAATAGACTAAATAACATTGTCAAATTTCAACAGAATCGAGTAATTTTTATTTAGATTTTTGTCTTTCAAACTATCTTAAAAACTCTGCATTTCCGATCTCATGTTTATAAAACCTTTTTTCATATTTTTTTATTAGAAATTGCCCTCTAAAATGTTGCCACGTATTTTTAGAACGCCCTGATTTAATTAAAATCCAAATCATAAATAAGTATACATATTCACATGATATTCAGCAAAATTATCCTTGATTTGTTCATTCTAGAGTTTATTTGAGAAATGTGTAGAGTAATAAAACCTCGTCAGGTATGTAAATAGTAACAGTAACATAATTAAGTCACTTTCATTATTTGGCATCGATTTCATTGCAAAAATCGTTCTTTTATAGTACAGATAGTACCATACCAAAAAATGGTAGTTTGAGATGATATCTGCAGTTTTGATGCGGTTTTAGGTTCGATATGTGTCGGATGAGCCGATTTTGACTTTAATCTGTTTGAAAAATGGAAGAAAAACCTACTATCAATCCAATAAAGTGGGTTTTTAAGTGGTTATCTGCAGTTTTAATGTAGATTTCAGTCCGGTAAGTTATGAAAATGAAGGTTTTATCTATAATTTGCTCGAAATCAAGAGCGAAAACCAATTATTTGTCACAAAAAGAGGGGTTTTAAGTGCATATCTGCATTTCTATGTAAGATTTCGTTGCGATAAGAGGCGAAAAAGCAGATTCTAACAGGAAGGAGGTTTTACACCGATATCTAATGGTTTATAAAGGTTTTCGTTACTATTATGCTTTAAGACGCCAATTTTGACTAGTATTTGAAAGATAGGAAAAATTAGAAAAATACATTCTAACAGAATAAAAGTTAGGCATTGTGTTAGTTACCCTTATTTTTTATTATACACAATCATAATATTCTTCTTCATTTAAAGAACTGTCATCTCCTCTGGGCATGATAATTATTGAGTCGACCACAATAATTCATTCTTTATCAAATTCTATATTTTTGTGTGGTTAACCATAATTTCTTGCTTTCACCAAGATGAAGTTAAAGACTGTATGAGTCCAGAACGATTGCTTTCGTCATCCACAACTATGCTTATGCTTTTCCATGCCAAAATGAAGTGTTCCATAAAAGTTTTCTAGTTATCAACGGAATACTATTTTCATCAAGAACTGCTCTGCCAGAACTTTTCTTGACTTAACCTGCTCTCTTTCTGTCCAGCAAAAATTTAAAAAAGGTGAACTTCTCAACCCCAGTAGTGCGGCAATATCAGTTTCTTCTACAGTAAAATTTTGATTATCGTATTTTTTGAAATCATTACACTTAAAATAATAATTGTTTCACTCACCGATAGTGAAGAGTTATTGGAACATCTTTCGGTTGGTTTCAAGGTTGCCATTTTATTACATATCAAAGAAATATACTTACAAATCGACAGCCGTTAGTATATTTTAATTACTCATCCATTTCTCTTTACTCATCAATAAAGGAAAAATGAGGGCCCATATATCTGGTACGTGGGTGAAAATGTCACCATGTAGAAAAACATGTTTTTGTCTTATTTTAAATAAATTCTTTAGATATTATTATTATGTACTTAGTTGGCTACTCTCCCATTTTCCAAGTCAGTGCTAAAATCTAAGTGTTGTTTACAAAGATATATGGTACTCGGTTATTACCTTTTCATTACATTTTTGTACTACCACATTTTGAAACTATCCTCTAAATGATAATAAGAGAATGAAAACATGTCATAGAAGTCTAATTACCAGAAGACGTCGAAGTACTCCATAAAGGAGGACGAATAAAGGCAATCCGAATCCATTTTCACCTGAACGTGTGTAGATCTGCAGAAAAGTTCATCGTCTTCAAACGTAAGTCGAAAGGTAAACACGAAAACGGCGGTAGGCAAGGGGCGGCAGCTGCGTGATGCTGTCCCTCGAGATGAGGGCGAATCTTGAGGGCGGCAGGGGGGACCTGTGGACAAATTGCCGCCGCCGGAAATCGGCCAAACGGGATAAACGCTTTTTACGCCATAGATCGCTTCATTCTAAATGTGTTTAAACGTCTCTCTGTATAAAATACTCTTTTGAACACTCAAAATCGGGATGAAATGTTCCATTCCTATTAAGCATCTTGCACGCGAAATTGCTTTATTCACGAATAATTTCATTAATTTTCTACTTTTAAGGTGTATTTATATACTACCTATTTGTTGCATTGAGACCGATATTTCGATGATCAAACGACCTTACCTGGTAAGTAAATTTCGATCGTAATTATAGTCCCAAGGTGGCACCAAAGCAGAGTCAAAAACCGTGGAAAAACTTACCATACATGGTATACTCGCCATATATGGTCTTAACCTCATTCTATTTTAAAGCCCGTTTATAATAAATTTGCCAAAGGGCGTTTTAGTACTGTAATGGGTGATTTTTACAAACAAGTGTAAAGGTAAGTTCGTTTGATCTTCGAATTATATGTAACACCTCTTCTATGAAATCAATATACATAGACTTTTATTCGGCTAAGGAAATCGAAGCTTATGAAATATTAAATAAATAGCTGTCCAAGAAAACACAAAAATTCTGGAAAACAAATTCCAAATCGCAAATATGCCATTAACAAAAGAGCCTGGCTGTACAAATAGGTCTATTATAAGAAAGGGCAAAACATTTAGAGCGTTCTGACCAACTTGCCGTTTTTCGACTCATATCAATCGAAACACCTTTACGAAACGCAGACGATGTTGAAGCATGTCGAGTGCTGTGAGCAGTAGAAATAGAAGTGTCCACACCACTATTCTCTAAACCTATCTTTATCCACCGGTTTATGCAAACTCTAGTTGCCGCCCTAGAAGGCTTTTTTAATGTAATAAGCAAACGAGCACTGATCATCTCAATATAAAAAGGAATAGTTGAAACCACACAAACAGTTACATCCTCATATTTATCCAAAACTAAAACAGGTGGAACCTTATTTATAGCTGAAGTCGTAATTTGAATCGTTATTGATTTTATGTTGGAAAAATCTATAAGAGAGAGCGTTTGAACTCTATGTGCAGTAGTTAGCGCCAGTAACAAAACCAGTTTAACAGTTAATTGCTTTAATGACAACAAGTCTGTCATATCTTGGTTTACTTGGTCTTAGATTATAAACACCTTTAAAAAAACCTAGTTAAATTTGCAAAAATAAGACCAAGTGCCGCCCTAAAAGATCTCAATAAGCCATAGGACTTGCCTTGTTTAAAATGAATAGTAAGGAAATCTAATACAGCATTAGGAGAGAAGCAATAACAGTCCACTCCGTTCCTTTTGCAGAAGTTCCACAAAAGTTTAAATGGTCTATTATGCCTGAAGGAAGCACTCCGAACAGATGATATTAAAATATCCATCGAATCTTCTGGAACATTCCTCAGGCGGAATGCTTGCCTGCCAAAATTCTAGCAGCCAGGGTAAGCGATTTCCACAAAGGGTGAGCTCTCTTGTCCTGTTTGTCTGGGTCTAGCAACAATAATTGGCTATATCGCATCCCATTAAAAATAGGAAACCAAGGCTGGCTGTGCCAGTAAGGGATTATTACGATCCCTGTAGCTTGATCAGCCTTGATTTTTCGTAAAACTCTTGGCGGCAAGAAAAGCGGAGGAAAAGCATAGAAAAAACTGTCGCCCCAAAAACAGTAAACGCGTGTACATTAGATGCCTCGGGACCTGGAAACCAGGAAATAAACGTCCTGTATTTCTTATTTAGGCAAGAAGCAAACAAGTCGATTTTTGGGAATTCAAATTTACTTGTTATTTTAGCAAAGGCACCATTCATCATCAAAATTCAAATTCCTGGATTCTTTATCCGCTTGAAAATTATCGGAAGAGCTAACGTAAGATGTTTTAACAGGAAATTTTACTCCCCCCATTCTATTTACATACGAGATAGCAGTTGTGTTATCAATCCTCAGAAGTATTTCGCAATTGCTCAAATTGGAGACGAAGCATTGGAGACCAAAGAATGCCGCAGTTAATTCTAGTGCATTAATATGAAGCTGAGCTTCCGTATGACTCCAAAGTCCTCTGGCACAATTCCTTTGCATACAACTCCCCAACCCAAAGGTTGGGAAATTTTCAAACTGGTAAAATTGCTGCCTTATAGGACATACATGATGATGATGATGAAGTCGTCTCCCAAGTATGAGAAAAATCTCGTTGATCGGGAACCACGCCAGTCGCGATTACTTAATCGCCGACGGAAAGATTTAATCTTTCGCCGTAGGTAGATTTTTTCTTCATCCGATGAGGAAGAAAATAAATCTCGCTTGTACTTCCCCATTTAACTAATAAAAACGCTGAAAAAAACTGAAAAAATGGACGCCGAATAAAAATGAGCATGTACCAACAAAGCACAGAAAGAGGAATGAGGTTAAGACCATAGATGGCGAGTATACCACGTATGGTAAGTTTCTCCACAGTTTATTGGCTCTGCTTTAAAGCTGTGATGCCACCTAGCGACTAGAAGGGGGACTACGTATATTGATTTCATAGAAGAGGTGTAACATATAATTTAACAGATATATAACACTGTGTAACACAAGATTTGTTTCTGCGGTTTGTAATGAATGTAGTGAGGCATAACTCGAAGACATTAGATATTTAGTTTGTTGTTGTTCTCAACTTTTTTAGAGTTTCAAGTAAATTAAATTAAATAAACGGGCATTTGCTGTTTACTTTGCCCTACAATGCCTTCCAGGCGAATTTGCAACCACTACTACTAAAATATTTTTCTACTCCCGTCTGTACATTACGCGCCGATCGAGCGTGCGGGAAGCTACGGAACTGAGCCCCTTCGGACATTTCCGGGATTTTACCGCACGGGTTTGGGAGCAATCGGATGTTTTGGGAGATATTTCCCACGCTTTGAATTTTGACGTTTGTCAATTCTGACGCTCATGTCAGTGAATGTATTCGTGCTGTTTCCCGAAAATGTACCCAAAAACGTCGAAAAAGTATAGTATACAACACGTTCAGTAAACTTTTTAAGTCACTCGTTTATTAAACACTTGCTTCGCTAGTGTCAAATAAACTCGTGAATCAAATGCCCGCACTTGTTGCAGAATATACAATTGCGTTTTTTTTCTGCGGTCATTACATATTAAAAAAATGTTATTCTGTCATAGTGTTTACAAACATTGATCAAAATTGAAAACCAAATGTAATCATGACGCACGGTATAGAGGTGAACCTAACAAAATGCCGTTTGCTATTTTCAGATGTTGGAGGGAGCACATTAATCATGGCAAAGTTATTTTTGTCTTGTTGGATATGAAAAAGAAACAAGCCATAGGGAGATAATGACTGATAATTTGTGCAACCTTCTCCTACAAGGTTCAATGGCCAATATAAAAGAAAGGGTAGTTTTACTAATTTGCTTTTGTTGCTTAATTGACTTTTTATCAAAACGTTCGAATAAAGAAAAACGTTTTCTGTAAAATATTTATTCTTAAGTCCAAATCTTACAACATGCTATCGACTTAAGGTCATAAGGTGATATTTTTGACTGAGACCGCCGGCGGAAACCGTCTCTATTCCCGCTACCCTCGTGCCATTTCGGGAGCGGAGATGGACTTCTGTCTGAAGGCGATGAGGACAATCATTCTCTCCCGGTCTTATTTCCGCCGGGACCATCTTAAACTAGTGTCCGCGAAGGACGGCCGTTATAAGTCTAGAAACACTTCCGAATCTGTTAAGTTATCGTCCTTTTTGTTGCTAACGAAATGTGGTAATAGACATCCACTTCATGAAAAACTAAAATTGCAAATGGCAACTAATAGATAATTGCTAGTCTATGAATCGCATAACCTAACCTTCCGACTGGAATTCTTTGTAATATATTTGCGGTTGATTTTCATATACAAGGTGTACATAAGTAGTATTTTGAAAATAAATAATACGTGGTGATCAAAGAATAACATTAAATATGAAAAACATGACAAAATCGTTGCCGGGACTTTGTGTATAGTTGCCTAATTCAAGACGCTGTAGATCTTGAAATATTAATAATAAAACGTTTTAACTGACCAAAAAAATGACGAAAAAACTGTCAAAAAAAAAATTATCGCGCAGTACGAAAATGGTTCTTACTATTTATTGTTGTATGACATTTTCTTAAATCTTACAAATCATACCCCGTAATTAAATAATTAACACAAGAGCTATTTAAATTTGATTAAATTCAAAAGGGCAAAACAAATTTTATCAAACACGTTTTTTTGCTGAAAAATAGCCAAATGGACGAAAACCTACAAGAAACAGCTTTAAATGACTAATATAAAAATTAGAAAATTGTATAAAATAGCATTTTTTTAAAATATTGCAAATAATAAACTGTATTTTTAATTTCACTTACTGTGAGCATTTTCCCTATTTTTTATTATTTTTTTATTTTTGTGTTATTATTTCAACAATAACAATAAAAATAATGAAGTTTGGTTTTTATTCTTACAAAACTTCTGGATTCCTCCTGCGTCTGTTTTTGCTGAGTCGAACTGAAACTGTTTCAGTCAAGCTCTGAAGAAGCCAACAGGATGATTGGCGAAACGTCAGCAAGTTCGACTCAGCAAAAATAGACGCAGGAGGAATCCAGAAGGTTTGTAAAAAGTATTACAGTAGCCTGTGGAAGTTTCTTTGAAAAATTAAGTTTGGTGTTGATTTACAAACTTACAGCAAGTTAAAATAGTGCCATTTCTGTAGTTTTTTTTATATTGCTTCGCCGTGATAGCATTTTCACAATTCAATGCTTAATATTTCGAAACTGGCAATTCCTTATACATGGTCACAATTTTTGATTTAAAAATAAAAATGGTTTTTAACAATTTTTCATGTTTGTTTTTGATTGTTTCTTAAAAAATCGGTAGATAACGTTCTTTATCGATTTTAGACCTGCAAACGTCATTTTTAGTTCAGATTAATTCAAAAATGTGTTAATTGTTCTGCTTAAAATAAGGAAGTAGTTACTTGACCGCAACAGCACTCCCTATATAAGTAAAATATAATATTATAAGAGTAAATAATTTTATAAAAATATAATATTCGAAAAGTATAAGAAAATCCAAACAAATTGTCTCCCTAGTTTTTTTTATAATTTTTACAGAGATAAAATGACATCCCATAACAAATGTGCCACCAGCTTTACTAGAATGACAACGTCACACCTATGCCATAAAAATTAAAGTTGATAGATAATAGAAAATATATTTCGAGTCGGAATTACATTTTCGTGCCAAACCTGAACAGTTCATCTTTTTTGTTTTGAAATGATTGTTACCAAAATTTCATTGGCGCTTTGCACAGTTTTCGTTCGAAGATTGTTAGCTTACTACAGCGGTCGATTGGTAAGCTGGTTTTCCAATTATATAGTCCGATGGGGGTATACGTGCTATGTCTTCCAGCCAGTAGTAGTCGCGAAAACTATATGCCCGTCGGCGGTACCTGTAGCTATGTTATCGGGGGCATTGATTGGAATATGTCTCCACATTCGTAGGTAACCAAAAACAACATAATTTACCCAAGTTGTATTGTATTGTATGAAACTGGTGACTAAAAGAGCGTTTATAAAACTTGTGAGATAATATTCTATTTTAGATCACAATTATTGTTCCAATAAAATTTAGATTTTTATTTCAGGAGCAGGCCACGAATTCCGAGCGATTCGAAAACTTTTGTTCGACAACCTGTTGAAGCTGTATTTCGTCAACAGGCTAGTGAATGTCCCGAACTGAGGAACATATATAAGAGCCACTCATTTAATTTAAGGAAAACTAGAAGCGACAATTGCACGCAGAAAGCGCTATCTAGAAATTCGGAAAGAAGGAGATTCAAAGAGAAAATGTGGTGAGTATTGAACGTCCCGATTCAAACGTTTTTGTATTTGGCTATTCGTCGTCCGTCAGGCTATCGCGAGCTATGGACAAGTTAAAAAAACTCCGAAAGGTGAAGTTTGAAATTCCGTCCACGCAAGAGGTGGTGCGAAAAACCAGGAGCGGAAAAATATACTCGTGCCGATGAGTTTTGTTTAAATAAAAACCTACTTTCCGTTTCCGGTTTCATTTTACCGAGGCATTTAAGGGTCTGCGTTCTATAAAAACAATTTATCACCCGAAATGGAGGGTTCACTTGACGGAGCACGAGATGCTCATTTGAGTGGCAAGTGCGACATTATCCCGAATTAATGTAGCGTCATAGAAATATACAGTCTACCACGATCCCTCGGGCCAGATGTGAACCGACCGCCCTGTGCAGTTACCACACGCTGCGGTCGCCGATGGGGATGATTTTATTTAAACAAACGAGCATCGTGATGAGGAAATCTACAGTTTTAATTTGGATAAGCATTGGCACTGGCATAACTGCTATTTTATATATGGCTAATTAATAATTTATTTAATAGCATCAGTTTTATGTCATCGTAATCAATATGTATCTACTACACAGGGTATTTTCTAATTGAATGTCAATAGTTAAGTGGGCGATTTTGGGTCCATTTTAAAAAGAAAATTTCATATGAACATATGTCCTAAACGTCTTAACTTCTTAGATGGTAAAGTTTCCAAAGATAAAATACATTTTTTTAATATCTGTATGACCATGGTATATCCTTTTTCCCTGGTTTTCGAGTCATAACCAAAATATTGCAATTAGAGCGAATTAAATTAATCACATTTCATCTGGGTAGCAGTCTCTAGCTGGCCATGGTGACGTTTTTTGTAAAGAAATTTGACTTTGACATAAATAAGCCTAATACTCCGTTATTAGCGTGTTCAAATGAGTAATTGTAACATTGATACTGGAAGGAAATACACCGGTCAGAGCCTGCTACCCAGTGAAAATAGATATGCAATAGTTTGGTACTTTTAGATGGCAAATTAATTGCTCATTTACGTGACAATATAAAATATGGGGTGTTAAATTTAAAATTCCCATGTAACATGGGTTTTTATATCTTGCCAATTGCGTCATATCTTATGAACGCCCTGTAAGCGAATAAATTAATTCTTATGCTATATTATGATAAAGCACTTTATATGGAATCGCAACCAAAAATTCAAGGGCTTAGCTGTATGGGTTGCTAAAAAAATTACTATTTTATATGTTGCCAAATTTCTTTAAAAGTATTTTTTATCCCCGAAAATGTTCAAGATAGGTATGATACATGTTACATAAAAAAGTTCCAGAATATTTCGCAGAATCAAAAAATGTAATAATATACAGGGTGTTCCATTTAAAAAACGAATTAATATACATTACGAATATAGCTGACAATACCGCATTGCCAAAAGTATTTAAGTAGCCAACATTTCAGGGTTTTACCGTAAGTCATTCTTCATAAACGTTTAATAGGACACTCACCGTGAATAACCCTGTATATGGAGTATTTTTGCAGATAAGCTGGTCAGGAATAGGATATAGCTATGACGTAAAATATTTTTTTATTAAATTGTATATTATGATATTTACAAGCGAGTATATTTTGATCTATCTTATTTCCGAAAAGAATTATTAATTGTAATATCGCCAAACAAAAACTTGGATTGAATTCCTTACATAAAAATATCCCCGCATTCCAGAGATAAAACACATTTCTATACTATTCATATTTATATATTTATGTAAGACGTAAATGATTATTCCCACGATTTGTTTAGTATTTTTAGTCACATTTAATTCAATTCAATTATGATTGATTATGAATGATCTAGTTTTCATAGAAGCAGTCACATATTTGAGAATATTAAGCTATGGAACACATATATATTATTTTGGCTTAGCATTTGCAAGCGTAGACTAAAACTGGACACCAAATGTAATTTGCGGCAGCTGTCGACCAACTTTTAAGGCATAGTATAGAGTTGAATCTAGGAAAACGCCATTTACATTCCCAGAAGTTGGATCGAGCCCAATAACAGATTGGTACTTTTGTCTTGTGGACCTATAAACATATAAGAAGACGTCTGATCGAAATATCTTATAGCCTGAAGACATTGCCAAGAAACTGGTTGGATATGAAAAAAAAACTCTTAGAAAATCTCTTCAGCTTTCAAAAATATGGGTTTTCACATGCATTTCTTGCATTTACATCTAAATTTTTGGAGAAAACTTTGAAGACGAGAGCGAGGCATATTAAGAAAGGTTCTATCGAGATATCATTATCAAGGCAGAAAAAATAAAATTATGATGGATGTATGGAAACTTCTCCGAGATAGGTGTGGCCAATATAAAACAAAATGTGCTATTACTGCCCTAAAAATTATTAATATAAAATAGATGCTAAGCATAAATTCATGCAAAAAAAGCAAAAATTTACAATAAACAAAACACAAATTAAATTTGTTATGCCGTGTTATATTTAACCATTTATTTGATGTCAATGTATGAATTATTAGGTTATATTGTATTTTTCAATCATCGTATGATATATGACATGGCGAAAACATAAAATGCATTTGATCAGTCTCTTAAATTACTAAACAATACCTTTTCCACAAACCTGCGTGAAGTGTTATTATCATAACATGTATGTCCCTCTATTTGCTCAATTCTTTTTTATTGTTTTTTCTGGCTAGCTGCTTAAAAAAGTAGCGCCATAAATTATATACATGAATAAAGTTATTACTATTATTATTATTATTATTAATTTAAAGGGTGACTCTAGGTTAAGTCGTCAAAAATCTAAGATCGGTTTTTTAGGTGAAAATAAGACTTTTCCCCCATAAATCAGTTGCCTTTGATTTGTTTTCGGGATACAAGGTGTCAAAGTTTTTATAAAAAATTGGTTTTTTATTAGTTATTCGAAAACATTTTTTCTGGTTTGGACTGAACTTGCTAATGCTAATTTGCGGTATTATAGGTGTTTATCCTAGTGGCGTCACAGAGGGTAATTTGATAATAGGAAAATTAATTGTACGTAACTGTTGGTTTGGATGATTAATTTTTTTTAATTTAAAATCTCTACATTTTAAAAGAATAATGCTAATATATAAAATGTTGAGTGTCCACGTTTTTTGTAATCAGATGTATCATAGGCTGTCAAACATTGAAACAAACAAATTCTCAAGAAGAATAATTATTGAATAAGAATTTAAATCAAATGACTTTTTTCATCTTAAAAAACACGGCACCTGACTTTTCATTTGATTTAGCACATTTTAATAAATAAAAATATTTTTGCTTAAACATACAGAAAAGTATGTGTTGTACAATATTTTTTTCTATCAATTAGATTACCCTTTGTGACGCCTCTGGAATTAATACTTTGTTTCTAATTATATTAAAAGGAGCCCGTTTATTTCCGTCAATTAAAATGTTTCAAAGTTTTTAAAAAATTTTATACCCTGTATCTCGAAAATAATTCCAGTTATGACATTGATTCACGGGAAAAAAGTCTTATTTTTACCTGAAAACGCGATCTTAGACGTTTGTCGGTTTATCCCTGGGTCACCCTGTATGTATGTATGTGTTCTATGTGTTAACCACAGGCATACATTTTTCAATGATTCAATGTCGTTTGAGTGAATTTGTAAAAAGGTTTCAGAGGAGCGATTACAATTCCAATAACTTCTACGAAGACTTGTGCATCATCGGTACAACGAATTTTGAATTCCTTTATGGGGTCAGACAGTATGAAATGCAACCTTGATATTTCTCTGGGAATCTCAATCCCTGATTAATGGGACCAATTACACTGAAACCCTGTTTATTCGTATCTAATTGAAAACCTGAGAGTAGTGACTGCTTCTGCAATACAAAATTTCAGAAACACAGTATATAAACTAAAATCCTTACCGATTATCAATATCGTGCATTTAGAAGCCACCAACTTTAGTTTACGAAAATGGTAATTACAGTCATAGTTTCGGCCTCTGCTCTTGTCACGTGGTTCGTTCACGTAATTCTTACCTCCGAAACAGAGGACAACGCAAACAGCCGATCGGATTAATATCCATGATTGTTTCGAGCGTGAAGAAAATGAAATATAAAGTTTTAAGATCGTTGCGAATTTAATTAGAGCGTAAAGGCGAATTGCTCGGGTTAATGTGGCTCTTCATTGCTTTTAATCTGATAAGAAGCAGTTTGAGACGGTAATTGCATTAATACCTAAAGCCCCATTTCATAAACATCGATTACAAGGGTTAACGCCGTCCAGGCAACGCGACGGGGCCGTCGGAATTTTTAAATCTTGGGGTATTTCGAAAATCGGAGGCACCCATGCAACAAGTGCTTAAAACCTTCGATAAAAGTCCGGGGTTGGACAGAAGCTTTGCTGCGCAAACAATGCAAATCGTTGAGCAGTAAAGCCATTTGAACATATTGAAAAATTGGTTATTAGTTATTAACTCATTAAGCGTTGCAATTAATGCACTCAATGTGTTGGCGGATGGTAAAAATGGCAGTTGGAGTATTTGTGGATTGAAAATGTGCGACGATGGTCAATTCCATACTCCGTGACTGACTTGCTAAGTTTCAATCTGAATCAATGCGGCAAATAACCATTACCATTTTTCTTCTCAGAGTTCCATCTTCTATCGAAGGTTGGAAATCATTATGGACCTTGTTGACAGCCGCTCTAAATAGCAGCCGAAACAGTCTTGCAAATTTCTCAGAAAGGATATTTTTCGCCTTCGGACACTTTGTCTACCTCGGTCCCCTCATTAGATGTTCTACGTATTCAGATTTCCTCTTTTTGATGGTTACAAGAATTTCCGGCTAGCATTCCATTCTTTTGTAAATATCAACGTTTGAGTCCCATACGTAGCACCGAAGCAGACTCGCGCGCAGTGTCAAAGTCACCACACTTTCGTGATCTAATGGGACTTCTGAGTTGCACCTAGGGTAAGATCGCCTAAGAGTACGCATTCCTTGAGAGTACGCGACACCCCAACAATTGGCTGTCCATATCAGAGAATTTGATGTCACGTTTTATGAACTGCGTATGAAGCAGACGTTTCAGTATGCAGTGTTGAACAAAATTCTGCTTAGATTTAATGTAGAAAACGAAATTACTGGCAAACCCTGCGTGCAAGATTTTGCCACAAGAGAAAATTTATCCCTTAGAGCTCCAAGAAAAATGCAGCTTAGGTGGTACTTTAGCCAACGGTTTATTGAAAACTTGAAAATCGTATACGAATTAAAAATTTTATCAGATTCAGGGCATATGAATTTGCTATGATATTTTAGCGACTTTGTAAAACCATCACAAACGGATCCAGTGGAAGCCCGAAATAATTTCATAAGCCTGTGCACAAAGGATTTTTTCCCACTGAAAACAGCTTTTTCAAATAAATGAGGTAAATGGATATTTAGCAACCCTAGAAGTGATTAAAGTCACTACTATTCAAATATGTGCAAAATCATTTGCGTCTACAGGAATCATTCCCTACAACCCGAACGTTTTTAGTAAATCAGATTTTGCTTTTTCTGAAGTCACAGACAGTCAGATAGAAGTAATCCAAAAAACTCAATCTCAAAAACAAAGCAAAGAAAAGAAAATTAGGATACATACTCCGTAATTCACCGAAGGTGTAACTAACTCTGCGGCTGCATATGTTGCACCAAATAGTGAACCAGCACCTAGTGGATGTCACACCTAGAACGATTTTGACTTTACCAAAAGCCACTCATTAAAAAATAAGAAGAAACAAAACTAAAAGTTCTGAGATTTTATTGTCTACCGCTTACAAAGACAATTTGTTACAAAAAAAAAAACTTAAATAAGGAACGCTGAGAAGGGCGGAACTGGGAGAAAAGAAAAAAGAACTAACAAAGAAACTGACTATCGAATTTGTCCCACATGTTCGAGACACTATTTCATATCCGATTGGATAAACTGTTGCTTATGTGAAACATGCTCTATCTTGGATATTGGAATTAAAACTCATGTTAGTTTATAGATATTAGACGTTACTTGTTTTACGTAGTGTTTGATTCATGTCCGTACTCTTTAGATCACTGTGTACTCTTAAGGAACCGGAAACCCTAGAGTACGCATTTTGGTATTTTTGTTTAACATTTAAAATGTGTTAAATATTTGAATTTATGTTTTTGTTATATTGAATATTTGTATTGGTACACGTTTCAAAATATTTTGAATAAAGTTTACGTTTGAAGTATTTCAAAGAAATTTTATTGTAGCAAATTAGTTAAGTGCCTACTCTTCAGCGTAACAGTAGGACCAGATGAATAGCAACTACTTCAATAACAAAAAGCCTATAATTCTATGAATGTACAAATTGTGGGAAACATTTAAACTAAAATGACTTTGATATTCACATGAAGCAGTATTGAGAAAATAAGGGTTTAGTTGTAATAACGTCATCATCCCCATCAATTTTGAAAATCCTTTTATTTTAATTTTTTTGTTGAAAGTAACTGTTGTTGTTTGTTACTTCGTTAAATTGTTCTTTTCAATTTGGACGTTATACTGTTAAAATCGAGCTCTCGAGCTAGCTTTTAAAAAAAATCTCCCGCTGCCAATGCACTAGTAGATGTTGACTACACTTTAGTGTATCACATGTAACATTGTTGTCTAGGGACAGACCAGTAACGCCCTGAGGGTTCTCATCGTACAAAAAAAATCATCCGACTTCTTTTTGACCTGACTATAATGTATATAAACCTTCGAATAACATAAAATACTCACTATAACATCTATCTAGGTATTTGCTTAATATTTGAACATATGTTCATAAAAAGCAATCCAATTTTGAAGTTAATGGATTTTTTCATGAGTATACCACAAGAAATGGAAACAATTTCTGTATTGATCAATATAACCATGAACATACAACAATAAACAACTAGCAATTTTTGCTGGTTCAAGTCTCTACAATTATCTTCCGGAGGAATATCTTTCTCTTAAAAAGTTGTGTCTCTTGTCAAACCAAATGTGACAGTTAACTGAAAATACTTTAAACATACATCAGATTTTTGCTGCTCTTCAAACAAGCCTTTAAGCCAACTGCCAATTTGAATTTGAAATGAAACGTATAGTAAAAACAACAGTAAAACAAGGATCACGCGTCATAAAGGCAACAAAGGACTGGAACAAGAGTCAAGTGTAATCCGGATACAGAGACACCGCCAAATAATATGATTAAACAGCAATTTGGCAGTCGTAGGGCAAGCGAATGACACGTGATCTGAAGTGGACTGGCACGTGGCGACGGATGAGATCATTTCTGATGAGGCATTGTTGAGGCGTTTGGTTGGTTGATTGTACTTGAAATTTTACAGCTGGAAGCCGGAGGCCGCAGCCCTATACACGGGATGATAGATTGTTTCGGGGTTTGCCTATGGGATTTTTGAAAATAATGAGTTTTCGGTGAGCGAATTTGGAAAATAAAATTAGCGAAGCAAGAAAAGTATACAAATGTTATACAATTTTCGAATTGTTGTGTTGAATTCTTTTCGAATCATGATTTTTTTAGATCAGCTTTCCTTTGTTCTTATTTTTGGATATTTTTTAATAAACATTCTAGGTTCAGAGCCTTACTGTAACGTACACATTACTTTGTATAAGTTATAGATTATATGTTTTAACTTAGTTCGAGCGACAATAATGTTTCGTGACTTCATAGCCGTACCGTTTCCGCTGGGTCCGAGACGATTGAATGCGCGTAAAATTATTCTAAGCTAGTGTAGTTCAAAAATATTTATCAGGTGTGTTCTAAATCTTCTAAATTAAAATATTCATTAGCACAGGGGTCGGCAACCTTTCCACTTTTGTGTGTGCCAAAGCAAAGTTAAAAAAAATCCGTATTTATTTTTCATAATATTTATACTCGTATATAATACAAAAACACTATTGAAGGTACATTTGAAGGTTGCCGATCCCTGCTCATATTTCTTTTTATCAATAACCCATTGAGGGCTCTAAAATTTGTTCTGTTGTACAGCAAATTCAGCTAGTCTGTCCGGAAATATTAACGTCACCGCCTTTCCCAAAAAAAATTTAAAGAAAAAAATTGAATTTTTTCTGATCTTGTGCCCACCGTATTTATTAAACGATTTTTTCATTTTCACCGTCCGTACAGGGTGTGGACTGAAAACTTCTTAATTTTTTAATACGCTTAAATATGTTACATTTTCTTACTTATTAAGCTGATAACCCGTAACCCAACATACACTGATAGTTTAGTGGCTCAAATCGGAACAAATAATAAGTTTCACCTCTACTTGACCTACAATAATAACACTTTTGAAATAAATTCTACAGAAAATTACTCTGTAATACACATTCGAAATTTTTTACCATTTATTTTTCTTATGCCCTCCACAAGCTTGATCCCGAGCCCGGGATTTCAGATGCATGCAAAAAAGCTGAACAAAGCTTAGCAAATGGTAACATCCTTCAGATTAGAGCTTTTGTCAGGATGAATGGATGGATTTAATCGTAGTTTTTATTTTTACTTTTTTCACCTCCTTTGTTTTAAGCGATCACTTAATTACTAATATTTCTACTTAATTTAACTTTGTATTGAAATATTATACCATATGACTGAATTCGCTACGGACCCTTGTTTTGGAACACGATTTTTAACAATGAATAAATAAATTTTCTTACTGATTAGCGCATATAATATTCCGAATCTTTTGTGAATACGCATATAATTTGAAATAAATAAACTCTTATGATCATAATATTGCTTTATTTAGCATACACAAATAACAAAGCTATAAGTTATATCGAAACAAGCCATTTATAACGAATGCGATGCGCATATTTAAAATAAAACATTTGTCCGGGAGTAATGGCTGCTCAAAATGCAGTTTATGTGGACCTGTAAATCAATGTCAGGTACGAATAGGACGCTTTTACGATCTGGAAAAAGCACTATTTAACGTGACGCAACTAAACTGCGAATATTTACCATAAAGTATAGCTCGTATCCGTAAACGCCACTGAGAAAAGTTTTCACGAGAATCGGTTTCTGAGTCCTCATCAGAGCTATCTGGAGGATCTTTTTATCTTTGGTGTCTCCTTTGAACCAATTAGATTCGAGAAAAGCATCGCCGATAGATAAAGTCTAAATCGCGACCTAATAAATCACACGGACGAATATTACGTGCAACTCACCAGGATTTTAATATCTTGTCCAATGTAACAAAGTATGAAGAGACCAACCATCCATCCTACCATTAATATCAAAATTCCAAAGTTGTGTGTCTTAAAACAAGCTATTATTAAAAAGCACCTTAGTAAACGAAACTATGGAAAGAAAGGTGATTTATAATTTTCTTACCTTTAGTAGCTGATTGCCCAAACAAGCTAGAACCAGCCCCGACGAACTAGCTACATGCCCAACCGTTGCGTACATTGATCGTTGAAAATTATAGCAGATTCTAAAAATGCGATATTGAAATAATTAGCTTTGTAACCATTGAAAATTTGTTTAAAAATGATATCTTTTCCTGGCTTGTGCTGTGCGCGATATTGGCGCACCGTGTATATAATATTTCCACTGAAACTCTTCTCAAGCAGATACCTGATAATTTCCACGTGATATCGAACGCAAAATCGGAGCCGTCGCTTAGCCGTTGCCTCATCTCCGTCGAACGTGACCTTTATGAGTTCTTTGAGATGGAGGATTCGTATGTGAAGGATCTCTGACGTCACCCATATCATAAAAGATATCGTTGCAGAAGTTGGTATATAATATAAACTGCATAAAATTTGAACTCCTATGATGACGAATTTTTTAACGCGGGTGATGGTAACTGAAACGAAAGTTCACCATATCCTTATATTATTTAAAATGAAAGGTTTTTACTCAAACTGTGTTTACCATTAACTAATTTTATACTCGACTTAATGCCGTTTTTTAAAACCCTACTTGTAACATTTAGTCGTATGTTTGTTAGTAATTAGTCTCAAAAAAGGTACTTTTCACTTACAACAATTAATCAAACGAAAAATTGCTGTTAATTCATTGAAAAGTTTATTAACTTTTACTTTTGTTATTGCGTTTTTAAGTTCGGAAAACTGTAAAAATGAAAAATAAAATATAAAAATGAGAGCCGCAGAAACAGAAAATGACTCCTGACACGAAATAATGCAGGACATTGTCATGCAAATTAAATTTGGTATTAGACGAGCTCTAAATAGAGGATCCACGTAGTTTCCAAAACTTTAGCAGAATAGGTGTTGTCAAATCTAAAATCTAATCGTGTGAAGATACAAATACATACACTTTAAAAATCGAATAGAAAATCAAATAACAAAATAGACATTGTAAACAGGCTACTTAATAGAAGAAGAGATCGAGTCAAACGGTAATCAAAACCCGGGCAATTTTTATGAGAATAGTTCCCCGTCTATAGGTTGTAATCTTAGATCTCACATAAAAATGATATAATTTCGAATAGATGAAAGAGGAGGCCTGGCGTCATCTAGCAATGAGGTGAGAAACCTCGATTCAGAAAACGGCGAGAGAAATCTGCGACGCAATATGGAATACAATGAAAGTTTGAAGCTCAAGTGTAAAATAAAAAATATTGTCATAAAACGAAAATAAGCTGTTTGCAGCTCAGAAATCTGAAGTTCGTATGACTTGATAATATCCCTGACATCGGATTTGATGAACGTTGTTTTCTCGAAAAGGATAGAATAGATAGAACATTATATATTATTATAAAATAATTAAATTAAAAATTTGGCTTTCAGAAATGTTTATCTATAAGTTGATCTTGAATGTCCGTTTTATAAAAAAATTTGTTCGAAAATAAGTGAAACGATTATTCCAAGTTTATTGGAAAGAACACGAAAAAAAACGACGATTTTGGGGGAAGCCTTCGCTTTTTAGGGAAGGGATAACACTTTTTATGGTGACCGCCTATGCGGACAACACGAATAAAAAATCTGGCTAAATTATAAATAAAACAGGGCGTTACCACGAGTCATTCCTTACAAAAGTACAAAAAGAAAATTAATTCGACAGGTCCGTCTAATAAATAGAAGCTTAATAATACCAAGAACTAACAAAAATTGTCTTCTTAATTGACACTTTTAAAGCGTTTCATGATATTATACAACTAGTACACCAGTTATGCAGTCAATTTCAGTTCTGGATAGCTAGAATCCTTTCTCTAGTTAAATTGGCAAAACTGTGGAACAATCTCAAGTTCAAATCTAAGGCAAACACGTATAGAAACGCCGCTATTAGAGTTAGATAAACACATTTATGTTTAGAAGTAACAGACCTAGCTGTGCTATAACTATTATTATTACCATGTCGCAATTATATTTACGATAACGGATAGAATTACCAGAGCTAGGCAACCAGAGCGGTGCGACGAGGTTGCATATTTCAGACAACCCTTGCTTCTGGTTGAGATTCTCGCATTCCTCGTCAGTTAGCTTGAACGTCATATAGACAAAGATACCAGAGCAACAATAAATAAATCCGTACAAGGACATCGAATTCAGCGCTTTGATGCGATCGTCAAATCCTGACGGTTTTCCAAAATTTTGGCAATTGGTAACGTCAAGAAACACATTAGACCAATTATCGTGATTAATCCAGAAGAGCAGGCAAGTTATCATCGAAGTTGACACCCCGGTCACGAAGATGAGGTCCTCCACAATCAAGGCATAAACGCCATCTGCAATGTGAAAGAAACAAAACAATCAAGCTTATTCCTTTTTTAATTAACCATATTCTTTATCCCCACCACCAGTTTGCGCAGTTCTTGAAATAGTAATTTAAAAGGAATAACCTTTAAAACCAGTTTCGATTATTATTAATATTATAATTAAATTCTGAGGTCTATCTGGTTTATACAGGGTAATGCATTCACGAACGGAACATAGAAACTCCAATGTAAATTTTTAGGTAGCTCCCCTGTACATTTTATGGCCAAGTTGTCATATAACTTTTTGAAGGGGCCGGTGTGGATAACTCAAGTGCCGAGTTTGAATAAAATTTACGAAGCCAATCTTCAGCTATTGATGGCAAAATTGAAAAAGGTTAATACAACAAACTCCAGCGAATATTTTTCTTACATCATTTACAAAACTTGACGACGTCAAGCTGGACAATGACATATTAAGTAACCAAAACTAAGTATGTGGGTATATCATTATGTTTTTCTTAGGATCAAACTCAAACTCGTTTCTTAAGACCTCGATGTCCCTTAAAGCGTTCTTGGAACGAATTTAATTTAAAGGACTATTTAAGCAACGAGGAAGCTCCAAGGAACGACTATACATTTGACCCTTAAGTCTTTTATTAAAAATAATTAATAATTATAATAATTATATGAAAAATACGAAATATTGCTGAAAAGAAACATTTTTTAAATAAACTTTATTTTTTTATTAAATATTCAAACAACTTTCCATTAACAGTTAAACAATATCTTAAGCGATCATAAAATTCATTTCTAGAATTGTTTAGTTGATAATGTGAAATCCTGTCACATTCTAAGCAAATACCGTTTTGTGAATGGTTAAGATTTTCATATTTAACATTTTTATAGATAGCAATTTTCAAATCGCCACACAAAAAGAAGTCGTGCGGCGAGAGATCAGGTGACTTGGGTGACCAAAGAATTCGGCACCTTGGGCCAATAACATTCCCATTAAAAGTATTTCCCAAATAGGCGGCACAACCATCCATGTGGTACCAGATCTCCCGATCTTGGCGAGCAACTTCTTCTACTTCGGGTTCAATTTTATTTTGTAATAAGTTCAAACAGGTTTCTGCTGTGTCTATAACAAATGGCCTATTAATATGATGTCCGCAAATTCCCACTATAACATTTATTTTTTGAAGATAGTTTTGAACATTTGATTCGTTGTTGAGTGTGAATGTACATTCATCAAATCCTTCTCTTCTTTCTTCATGGCCTTTCATTAGTGTTTTTTTTTAATGCTCTATTATAGGCATTTTCAGCTGAACTTTTGCAGTTATTTATTACGGTGCCTTTGGAATTGGGTAATAATAAACTTAATTGTTGAAATCGAAGGTATAGTTTTAGCAGGAAAATAAACTGAAAACATTTCAGACACTGCTCATAGACTGTTTCCTGCCTACTACCACTTACTTATACTTACTTCTTCTTCAATCGAATATTGCGTATTTAACTTTAATTAAAGTGCGTTTAATAACGTATAACAAACACAAATAAAAATATTGTTACTGTTTCGTGTTGTAGTTGTAAACATGTGTTTTACCGGTGTTTGATTTATACCTAAACAATAACAATTTTCAAATTTTGCTATCATATTTAATTTAATAACTGAAGATTGGCTTATTAAAATGTATTCAAACTCGGCACATGAGTTAATCATACCGGCCCCTTCAAAAAGTTATCTTACAACTTTGCTATAAAATGTACAGGGGAGCCAAAAAATTTACATGGGATTTCCTATATTCCGTTCAGCAATACATCACGCGATATAGCCAATGCCAGATATCTAGGACTCGATACTGGGTACTCTGACAACTATACCTATATTTGCAGCTACAGTCGAGCTTCGTTAAAGTGTACACGGGATTGCTAGTCGACTACCGAGATACATTTGCAAGACTCTCGGAATATAATTCTGTCAATCTCGTGTCGCTCTACAGTACGCTAAAAAGCGAGCTGAGTTAATGGCACGGGAGGCAATTCTATCTACATTGAGAGAGTTTATCGGGAGGCGATCGAGGGTTCTAATTGTAAGACCTTATAAGCCTCAAGACATGGAGTGAACGCTCTGTCTCAGGGCACGCGGCTACAAACTCTGGTAGGCGTTCTAACAGGACACCGCTATCTAATAGAAAGCACCTTCACATCATCGAGGTGGGCGACGACAGCACATATTTACAGTATTTAGAAAAGGAGGAAACTCCAACCAGCTACGTACCACTAGGGAACAGCCGACTAAGAGTACTAAGATCTAAATCCATTCAGCCCGAGGAACTATCCATACTAGAATGGGTACCGTACTTCCTCGAGAATATCTCGCTTTTCTAGGAAATAATAACTGAATATGAGACACAGTTAAGAATCCTAGCGTCATCTGACGCCTGACTAATAACAATTATATATTATAAATACTCGTTGATATATATAATTATTCGGTAATTGCAGTAGAATTGTTTCGTATACAACTCCATTTTGGCCATAAATTATGAATCAGTAACTTTTTGTTTGGGAGCGATGCAAATCCAAAATGATAAATTAAATATTCAGCCTCTAGAGAATCTTGGACATTTATGTCAAAATAATGATGCATTGTAATTTTTACTTATATTAGATAATATAGAGGCCTTGAATGCGGTAAACTTGTTACACTTAAGGCGGATATGATATAAATTTTGCATATCCCGAACCTAACATTTGCGCCTGACTTTTAAAACATTCGTTTTAATCGCCATGTTGAACACCAATTCCTCTTATTGATTTAAAGCGTCGTTTCAAATGCATCTATAACATTTTTTGCAACGAAAGTATGTTTCCAGAATAGTAAGGACTTCGCAAAATGTTCTTCGCCTTTTTTCATCACCAGGTCAGAGGACATGATGATGAAATTTTTGTTTTCTCAAAATTAAATGAGCAGTATTCCAGTTGTATGTTCTATTTATCAGACAACAAACGTTTCCGGATTTTCAGTTACATCTAAAAATACATTATTTACTTTGTCTTCATTGCAGGGTTTATTTGTAGATAAAACTGGTTTTATAAACGCACCACACTGCTTAAGATTTGTAGTTAATTTGCAAAAATGTTTATACTATACGATGATTTCGCAGAATCGAAACGTCGTACTTAAAATCTCTCAATGCTATGTCGTAGAGCTCTCAAAAAGAGGAAACGAAAAATCGAGGTTATTTTTTTCTATATCATTTTCAATAACACCAGAAAAAAAATAAAAACGAAATCTCTGAATAATTTTTTTGCCAAATGTTTTATTTATTTGTGAAATTTTTTATCATCACTATATACAATATCAATATAATTTTTAAAGATTTTTTTTTGGATAAAATCCTGTAAAAATTTATTTTTTTAAACTCTTTTCCTTTGTTGATACATCGCATATTTTTTTTCTTTTTTAAAGACTAGTATATTAGGTTTTAAATATGCTTTTCTAATATCTACTTTGAAATACCGGTTAAAAACTTATCCAGAGTACGCAAAGCAGCAGTTTTTTGTTTTGTTGTGATCTGCTCGTTTAACCAACTTCGTGCATAATCATATATGAAATACATATCATCTAACATACCATTACAATTTATATACTTTCTATAGTATTATAAAAACTAAAACAATCGAACAAACCTTACTTTTTAGTGACACGCAGAAATGTACGATGCTTCCCACCCACATGACAGCGGTAAGTATCCTAATGCAGGAGGATACCGCATAAAATTTAAACTTTGCCTTCTTTTCCTTTTCAGTAGGATAATAGCTTAGACAGTTAAACATCGTCAGAACGTAGTACAGCGCTGCCCCCTTTTTAATCGGGTACATTCTGTGTTCTGCTATTGTTTTCAATAAAATGGTGACGATTTACTATTTACAAAATAAAAATGTATCGCCGTGCTTTATTAAGCGACCGATTACGTGTAACAGGTCCGTAATGCATAAAAAAATATTGATTCTTATTTTCAGTTAGATACATCGTATATATGGGACATGTCCCGTCTATCAGATAATTTTAATTATTATTGTAATAACAACATTTCAACAAGTTCAATCCATGATAAAATATGTTTCAGCAAATTCTTGAAATGGGTGGAGCGCTGCGATCCACGCAGGATTTTATGCACAAAGAGCATTTTAGAAAATTGCGGTAAATCAGGCGCTCGTCAGCCGCTCTACAAGTCAGACAAATATTTTTTCTAGTTTTCTAAAATTAGTAGTAATAGAGTTTAATTTGTTGTTAATACATGCTTATTTAAAAGAACAACGTTGCTTTTAAATTTTTATGGTTGTTGATATATTTATTATTCTGAATTTGATTAAAGTAAAACCCTTATTGACACAATACAGTTTTAATACGTTTGAACTTCTTAGTTATATTGCACATGTATGGCAATAATTATTAGTGATTCATTTTGTTGCAATATCAAGATTACTTAGCAAAGTGTTGTGGATTGATTCTAATCGGCAAAGTGTAAAAATAGAAGCTAATAAGTATATTTTTGTCGTATTATTTATGGAAAAGATGGATTTGGGGTTGCATCTTGAAGCCGCCTTAACCACAAAAACATTCTTAACTTAACAAAGCTTAGCTTGAAATAATTCTAAGAATTTAATATTGGGAAAGCGGATGTTTACCCAAAATCATGTGGTAGATGATCAAAATTTGTAATAAGTAGATATCATTGCCCATCTCGTATTCAAAGCAAGGAATTGACTATCTTGTGTATTAGGTAATACGAGAAGTAATATGTCCGGTCCTGGTAGATATATATTTTTAACGGTGTGTACTCCTAACTCTTTAATCATGACAACCACATAAAAGGAATAAGCGAATAAGGCAAACCTCCATTAATTTAGTTTAAAACGAATTTCCTCGTAAGTCGATTGTATACATTTCAATTAACGTAAACTATTACGAATTTGTATCATCGCTACTAACTACTTAGTATTAAGTTACAAAGATGCTAAATAAACACTACGAAGTTTGTACTACCTATTTATATATCTGATAATCTGAAAAAACATCAATCAATTAAAATATAATACGTGTTTATTTTATGAATACCAGAGATTAAAAAAATAAACATACAAAAGACTATTTAAGTATTTTAATTTTAATATTTCCAGGAACCAGTTCTAGTACTACAAACTATGTCTATTTGCAAGTTTCATTGTCACATGCTGGTGAATACCGTCAGATTTGTAAAAAAATAATGTCGCATCCGTCAAAATTATTTAATTCTATTCTATAATATATATTTTTGCATTTAACGTCAAATTTTTGCTGCATTTTGATATGCCTTTATATTTGTGAGTTCTTGGATATCTTTCGGAATTAAATATGTACCTTATATCGTTCACGATGTATAAAGTAATTATGGCTACATCTCTTCAGAAAATGTCTTTTTTTGCAAGCCCTAAAAGCTAATTTCTAAAAAAGCAACTGATACAACAAGAATTTGCGATTTGGAATAGAACAAATTAGTACGATAGATATATAGTTTCGGATATATAATTTTAAGAACCTACCTTTGGAATACGCTTGGAATTATCAAAAGTGAACATACGTTACGTTACGTTAAATCTAGAGATCATGCATCAGCACTTCATTAAGTACGAAGTTTTCCTGCACGTTCCGTCTCAAATGTGGATCCAATATTATACCCACATACTTAATTTGATCTCATCTTTAATATTAAAATCAAACCACAATTTTAAACCACCGCTTTCCGAAGTGTATTGGCATATGAGATAAATATTAAGGGACATAGGACCATACCTTGTGGTACACCATATATTACAATTCTGGCGTGGCTAAGTGAGTGTCAGATCTTAAAAATCTGATTCTTTTTTTGTAACTTGAACCATTGTAAACTACTCCTTATACTTGCCATTAAGTAAAGATTGAAGTTAACGCGACCGGCAGGAAAAGTTTCCACGACGATAGGTTTCTGGCATCGCATCAATATGATATGCACCGCCTTTAGGCCACTGAGGTTTGCTTTATACCATTTCGATTGAAATACAGCATCCGATATTGATAGACTCTAAATGCAAATAAGAACAACCGCGTTTACTCAAAACAGGTAAATCTTGAGCATAGATACCTTGTCCTGAAGTTTTTGTCCGGCGTAGCATACGAACACCAGAGTCACGAACCAAGCGACAGTTAAAAGTAACACTCCGGCCTTATATGTCTTAAAGTCAGTCCATCATCACAAGTAAGGTATATTTCAGAAAAGTTTAGCTGATTTTTTGATTGTAATAAAATAGACCAGCCATACTGGTATTTTCTTTAATAATCTCGGCTATTGGCAATAACAATTTTAAACAGTAAACGCCTGAGAATTATTTAATACATGTCCTTTCTGTATAAACTTTCTTAAATTCAAAAAAAAATTGTAAATAGAGAGACATACGAATTACAAGTAAACGTATAGGATGAATGAACAGGTAATGCAATAAATCATTTTGTATAAAAAACTAAAATGCATTTTATCACATTATCGAATTAAAAAATAATTTGAACTTTCGTAAACTTGTTAGTCCAAATGCAAAACTGCAAAACCAAGAGCATGTAGGTTACATTTATGTGCTATTACTATGCTCAAGAATCAAATGCTTAATAAAGATCAGGCATATATAATTTAATTTATGGGTCGATTTGCTTTTATAGGGTGTGATTACGCTTTATTGGACATAAGAAATCAACAAACATTTCCGACACTGATCACAGATCACTGATCAAAATTAAACGTAATTACCTTTTGCAATTGATTGCACAGGCAGGCAATACCGATCGCTGAGATTGGCGGCATATGTTCTGACGTAGCTTTTACCGCTTTTCTTAAATTTGTCGTTATCCTAAAACACATTTCAAGCACACTTATCGTATAAAAATCTCTATATTAATAACTTGCACCGCAATATTTCTTTATGATATTCTATACAAAATTCGATACAACTTTTCTGCTCCAGAACGCCCCCTTCAAATGCATTTTCGAACAAAGATTTGAGATAGTCAATTTTTAATACAACCATCTCGGAAGTTTCCAAATACATGACGCATATTTGCTGAGTTGCCGGGACGACCACTAGGCCACATATACATTGGGTAAAAAGCAAAATGTACTTCAACTCCGCACTAGTTTTATCTAATATAGCATTTTTTCAAATGGACCCGTAAACATCCTTTCGGGAAATGTTATATTATGTACAATATATACAGGGTGCTGTAATTAAATATTCAGTTATTTCTTTCAAAAAATAAGGCATTCTACAGACAAAAAAACAACAGCGGTTACCCCAGATACTCCTTAACCACAGTCATAAACAAATAGAATGTCTTTTCATTTCATCCTATTTAAGAACAACAAAATTCAGAATTTTTTGATGCGCGGATTGCAAAATATTCCGGAAAATCATCTTCAGGGTTCCTATTTATTTTATTAATAAATACTTATGTATCCATACCCTTTCAATTTTGTAATAAGTTTCATATTTTGAAATCTATGTACTAAACTGAAATTATTAATCCCAAGGAAAACCAAATACAAATTTTTGATGCATTATACTATATATTTAAGCTTTTTTATCTTCAAATTATTAAAATATTATGTATATAGTTTCAATAAAATGAAGCTAGCATTAGACCGAGACTATAATGAACTTAAATCCTTTTGCAACAAAACGTCAATTCATAATCAATTTTAAAATCTGTACGCGAAATTAAATATTCTATTTGCTACTAATATTCGCTAGGTACCCAAACGTGAGTAATTAAATTGCACATTTCATCTAGGCCTTCCTTTTTCTTTAGCTGCTTGCAGTTGGTGTCAGTGATGTCAACTATATAGTGTGCTGCGACCCCAACCAAACAGTATGTGAGGCAGCACAATGAAAACCGATTAGTTCTTTTTACGTGTACATCCCAGTTTGGCGGTTTTCCATATCCCGCAACGAAATCTGAATCTATCAAATCACGATTCTTATCTGAAAAGGAGGACAGTCGTTTTAGGAATTATTTTTTAAATTATGTATTTCTACTATCTTTTTACGAGAAACAGTAAACGTTTAAAACTTTTAAAGCTAATGAAATCATGTAATCATATAATTTAACGAATGAATCTCATGATCGAGGGACAAATGGCAAAAACACTTGTTTCTCAAAAAATATCGTATAAAATGCTAGGCGTGAATTCCCAATTCGTACAACCTCACGTTTACTAAATATAAAAAAAACTGTTTCAGCGAACTTAATATTTTACCTCATGACATTAAAAAGGGTTCCCGATTAATAGATAACTCTAACATCAGACAAAAAAAAATGAAACGGTCTTTAGAAGAACAATATTAATAAAAACAAATGAAGAAATAAAAATTTACAAAGCTAATAAACTTTTTGTTTTGGTAACAAATAATATATCCTCAAAAGTAATAAATTTAAATATAAAAAGAATAATTAGCTTCATTCGGTAAAATGTTTAATAGTATCGCATATATTTGCCTCAACTTGCACACCGGCTAGTTCCGCCCATGTGCAAGTCTCGTTTTTTGTTACATTGTTCTGTGACTCTATTATTCTGTGTTGGTAATAGTTTTATAGTGCAGGCAAATACTGCTAAATCGGTAAAATTGATGCCTGCCTAGAAAGCTCTCAAATGGCTGCAGCTATTTAGAGAACATAAAAATGATACTCAGTACTCTTTGCTTTTAATCTATGACATGAAATTTAAAAGTCGGAGGCTAAGGTCAATCAAAGTTATTGCCTAATATTAAGCTTTGTATAATTGAGTACTATTTTTTGTTGAACAATATTCTTATTTTTCTAAGTGAAGGATGACTACAAGCAATATTTAGTTGTCCTGTTATTATTTAAAGTATTAATAATATTTTTGTTGTTTTTGCCATATGAAACATTGTTATTTAGATTATCCTTTGTGATCGCATGTATGAATGGGTTTTTTTCCCAACTCTATCGTCTATTGTTATAATTAGTATTTATAAATAAACATTTATTTTTCTTGAAATAAGCCAGTCAGTTAGTAGAAATTTAAGTTGATATTTAATTAAGTTAAGCTCAGAAGAAGCAGGATGATTGCCGAAACGTCAGCAAGTTCAGTGCATCAACAATCGATGCAGGAGGAATCCAGAAGATTTGTAAATAACGTTAAAGTACAGATTACTTTTGAAATTTAGAAGCATGCACGATTCTCCAAGGCTCATCAATTTCTACCATACTAGGATCACTATATTATCTAATTGCCCCTTATATTTATGTGTAATAGCTAATACCTAATACATTTGATGCAATAAAAAATAATTATTTAAAATGCAATTTTTCAGTAGTTCAATAATTCTTTACATAAAAGTGTTCTCTGTTCCACGTAACATGCAAATTCTTACAATAAATAAATAAAAAAATAACTATCATAAAGTAATAGCAAAGGATACTTTTCGTGGAGAATTTATTATATTGCGTATTGACGGACAATAATAAACGCTGAAGGAAAGAAAATAATGCGATTTGAAAAACTTACTCTTTAGAGAAAAGATTAGGTGCAGAAGACTTCCCGTTAACATGGACGCCGTCAACGCTTTCGTGACCAACGAACAAACTTTAAATTTTTTCATCGCTAATTTAATTTCAATGTGTAAAAAAATGAAGAGGTTTTACCAATTTGATACATTTCGTCACAAATCAAAGTAAGAAATCCAAATCCGTTGAAAGGAAATTAATAATTTAGTGACACGTTTGGGGTTTGATCCAGAACCGTAGGGTAAAAAAAGCACTCATAATAGCTAAGCATTTTTTTTTGCTGAAAATTTTTGCTTGACTTTTTCGTATTTAATGTTCCTTATTGCGGAACTGTTAATGAATGCTGATCACTAAAGCAAATCACTCAATACAAAATAATGACTAATGTAATAAAATTAATGAGATATTTTCATTAATAGCCCGATGCTTCGATTTACATTTGGAACAAAAAGAATCAATCGCAATTGTTTGTGCCCTTAAATTTTATTATTACACTCACTACATCGTTACTGCTCTTAACTGTAGCAAAAAAGGTTGGAAGGGGGGACGAGTTTTTTGTCAATATTATTTTCTTTAAGAAGGATAATAAGGATAATAGTTCGCAACTATCTAAATCTAAATCTGTCTCTCATTATAAGTTAAATAGAATATTTAAATAGGATAGTTAAATAGGATAGATTTTTTTATTTTATATTTTATTTTTATTTATTTTTTATAGATACAAGGGTTCCGTTCATCTGTGGTAAATACAAGCTTTCTTATTTTAAATGAGCCACCCTGTATATTGCATAGCATTTTTTTTGGATTCCCAGGGAAATTTCACTTTGCCAATATCTAAGTTTTTTTGACAAATCTTGAATTTTATGTAAAAAACTACGTTTTAATGCCCTAAAATACTAATTAATTTTTCCTATAAAGTGAAAGTGCTAAAGATATAATCTGGATTTAAAAATTAAGGTGACTTTAAATAAGACTGCCTATTCAGGAAATTTGTAGTTTCCGAAATAAGAAAATATCAGAGAAATTGTCCACAAAGAATACCGATGAAACAAATTTTGGAAAAAAGAGGAAGGAAAAGATATTTACCCCAGATGAAAAGAATCCCTATGTATATGAAAAATCAAAAATACACATGAAACAATGTAACTTTTCTATTTAACGTTTTTTTTCTAAGTTAAGGGGGTAAATAACCTTATTCTTCCTACACCCTGTACTGCTCAGACTTGCAAGCCTTAACCGACTCTATTTCAGGTTCGCTTAGGGTTTGTTGACGCATAAAATGGGGTATAAAGGGCATAAAATATTGTTTTTTTCTACTCCCTACCTGAAATACCCATACTACCTACGCATATGTGTGACGTTGACGACTGACAAGAAATGCTACGCGTGATCTCTGGTTTTCCGACGTTGCCGTTTCCCGAACACGATAAATTGTCATCCTTGGGTGGATACAATTCAAAACTACGAAGTGATGATGCTTTTGTGTCTATGGGAGTCTACTATGTACATTAAGTAGGAATTCCAATATGTTAAAAAAACAAAGTTGTTCGTTTTTATTAGGCCAAAGGAGTGAAATAAATCGCGACAACGTTGTAAAATTAAACTCGCTTGCTTTGTGCACCGGGGATGGCCGAACACTTACGTAAATCGCCGACGTTCGGAAATTAGTACACAATTTTTCTAACAAAACGTCACAGATACGCGGTCTCAGATTTGTATTTCAATAACAAAAAAGCCGCTGTATGCTGATTAGTATTTTTAGTGCGCTCAGTTAATATTAAAGTGCTATTCCAATATATTCCGTTTAAGCGTAAATTCGATAAAATGGCTTCATCTGATCGCCAGGACTGCGGTTTTTAAAGGATGAACGGTTTTAGTACCGGCGAAGAAGATTCCAGGGGTCCTGCGGACCAGATTTGTTGTTTAATTGATAACGGCGAAAGGTGTCCGAAAGCCGCTGGAAACGCATCTTACAGCAAAAGAATTCAAAAGACTGTTACCCAAAGGAGGCTCAATCTATTGTTAGATAACACAGTGAGTATTTCTTTTTCTGCTAGTGCCCGCCATTCACTTAAATTTGGAAAAAAAGTTATCCAGATAGAAACTAACTGATAGTTGAATGAAGTGCATAGATAATTTTATGTATAGTACCATAACAAATTTCAATTTTTAACTCTGATCCCTATTTTTCATTCAATTTTTTTAATAAATTTTATTTGTCATTATAATTGTTTTCAACTGCCAGCACAAATATTGAGTTAGTATAACAAGGATATCCGGTACTAATTTTTTTTTTTTCAGGCGCGACACATTTACATCTGTGATTTCCACAAAATGATCATTCAGTGCGCCAGAACAAAACGAAGAAGGAAGGATTCAGAGGATGACAGCAACGAGACTGACACAGATGTACCTGAGGTTGATCTGTATCAACTTCAAGTAAATACTCTAAGAAGGTATAAAAGACACTTTAAGGTTCCCATGCGACCCAACTTGAACAAGGCACAATTAGCAGATGTAAGTTGTTTATTAAAACTCCAATTTATAAATTATTCTCTCCTTAAAAGACAAGAACACAAAATTAGATTTACTTTTAGACATTAATGAAGCATTTCAAGACAATTCCAGTAAAGGAGAAGGATGTGGTGACATTCTTTATCTACACTGTAAAGACCAATGGTAACAAATTGGATCAAAAGAACGGAGTCAATAATGATACAAGCTAGATGGAGGAAGTTGCAATTTTACTTAACATTTACAGAATTGTGTAAATTAAAGTTATTTTATTGTTATTTTTGACAATTTAACAAGTATTTTGTAAGATATAATTTAATTTTTACAATAAAACTTGAATATTTTAAGCGATTTGTTTTCTTCTCTTCTTTTTCTTGGGTTTGCTCTCAGCATTTAAGATGACGACATCTTCTTCTTCACTTTCAGCATTTGCCAAATCGATAGTTTCCACTAAAATTTGTTTAATTTGAGGCAAAATAGTAGATTTTATTGTTAGTTTATTAAATAGATTTTTATTTAGATTAGATCTGGAAAATAATTACCATTTGGAGTTCCAATACAGACAATATCTTCTTCCGACCCATCATCGCTCTCTATGACCTCCCAAGATGAATTTGGCTTGTCCTTAAACACAAGTTCAGCTGTACTTGCACCCAACTGTGTTATTTGTTCCTTTGCACTTTGATTATCTTTGGCTTCTATTTGCAAATTTTCTTTTTTAGATTTTTTACCTTTCTTTTGTTTTTTGGGGCTGCTCCACTGATCTAAGCAAACACTTAGATCTGCTAAACTAATATCTGCTTGTTTCACCTCGATGGTGTGGAAACCAACAGATTGCATTGCTTGTCTGTAAGCCAATATAATTAGGTGATTAATGTTTATTGAACAATTTTCTTTCTGATTGAACTGTTACTAAAGAAATGCAGTACCTTTTTTCAATGTCTTTTTCTACGGCTTCTTTTATTAATTCTACCAAGTGACTTGCTCTCTTGGCAGCTTTGTGTGTTGTCTCTAATATTACTTCAGGTGCCAACTGAGTCTTGCCACCCAAATGTAAACCACATAGTTCCTTGTAGGAATTTAAAGCAACACTTAAAAATGCATCAGCAACACCTTCCTCTAAAAGGTTGGGATCTGCCAGTATAAATTCCCTAAAATTAATCTATCAATTTTTAAAATAAAAAATATTTTTACTCACCCTTCTTTATATATTCCAAATGAAACACATACTGGATAATGATGTAAGACTGTGGGTATTGGATCTCTTTGTTTATGGCTATAAATTTTAAATTCTTCTCCATCCCATGATATGTCTGGCCTTCGAAAATGGGCCAATGCCGCAAGTGCTGCTATTGAAGCACAATCTAAAATGTTTCCTTCATGATTTAAAACATTTATATCAACTCTAAATGCCCACACCTAAAATTTGCCACTTGAAATATGCAAAAAACATATATCACATATAAATACCCTTTCATTCAATTTCACGCATAATGATTCTAAATCAACAGCTTTGGAATCTTTAATACATTTTTCCAATAGTCTATTTAATTGAGCTGAGAGATCAGATTGTCGACCAACCTCATAATTGGGATCAGCCATTGGATTTAATTCCAAATTAATATATAAAATCCCCTCGTTTGGTCGAGAAGCGTTCGGGTACTGCAATTCGCAAGACACTTGAGCAAGAGTTCTAAAAATATCACCTTCAGATTTTGCGGGACTAAGCAATAACAGCCATACTTCGTTTTACCCAAGGACACATGACAACATCCCCAATCGCTTCCAAACTCAATTTTTATGTCCCGGAATTCCTCAAAGGCACGACCGTCTAACCTCTAAAATAAAACTGTATATACATTGCAGAACAACAGAAACAATGACTCTACCGTCCATTTTGTTAAGTTTTTTAATAAGAACTCCTTTTCGCAATTTGAAATTACTGTTTTTCTAAAATTCGACATATTAAATTTTAAAAAAACATAAAATCCGCTTTTTTTGCGCAAAATATTAAACGAAAACCGCAGGATACTTCTTAATAACCTCGATTGGCCGAACTTGTAAGGATCATTCGGCAAATTTGTTAACAGTTCACCTTTGGCCAAAGTTAGAAAAACAATTTCGTCACAGATCGACACATTTATTCAGATTTTAACCATAATTGGTACCGATACACAAATTTGGAACTTGCGTATGCAATGATCACGACAGAATTCACCACCGAATACGTAATGAAGGTAAATGCTTCTTGTAGGTATTTTTTTTTATTGTGCTAAGCTACTCATGGGATACACATTAACCCATAACGATTTTCACAATATTCGAAGCGGAGGAGAAAACTCACAACCTCCGACCTTCATAGTTACATAGTATACAGGGTGTTCGGAAACTTGGAAGAAAGATTCAACCTGGTAAAATAATGGTAGTAAGTCATGAACAAAAATTCGAAATCGTAATATTTTCCGAATTATAGCTTGTCAAAATTCTTTTTTTTTTTAATTTTATTTTTAACATTTTCTGTAAATGTATGGCCAGGGATTATAAGAGATAATCTTATAGGATCTCATTTTAATGGATCGCTTAATGTATTTGCAATTTCTTCAAGAGGAACTACCAGCTTTGCTCGAAGAGGTACTCTTGCAGTGGAGACAAGGCGCTCCGCCCCATTTTACATTGGTTCTACTAAGGTATTTGAATCAGGCATTTGAACATGGATGACTAGGTTGGGACGGACCTCTTGCTCCCTAGACCTTAATTCGATGTGCTTCTTTTTTTGGGGGCATTTAAAGTCTTTAGTATATGAAACACCTATAATAAAACTATAAATTTTAATTAGCGTTGTATACTGTTTAATTCCTGTTTATTATTAATAATTATTTTTGAAAAAGTTAAATGTATTTATGTTACTTAAACATATTATTGCATTGACTTATGCCATTTTTTTCACTTTTTTAATTTGTAGCATACTGTCGCATATACAATATCACCTTTCTGTAAATTAGAAGTGCGTGGTTTTTGGACCGAGAATAAAAAAAAAACGATTTGTGGCTAAACGATAACACTCACGCACTCAAAACCATATAGTCGCTGAATATATAAACGCCCCGCCATGTCGAAAACACCGAAACTTTTGAAGCAACCGATAAGAACTAGAGGCATTCAACAACGAACATGGTAGCTGATAATTGGTCAATTCAACAGTTTAATTTAGATCTAGCGTTCTTACACTAGCATGTTCTAGTTAAGTATGGAGATTGCTGTTTAGAAACAAAATGGAGCAAAGTGCAGGAATTAGTGTGAGAAATTTAGTCATGCGCGGAAAATTATTTCCTTCGCTAGCAAAATGTCATTGCCGCGTGAGGCATCCCGATTTTTATCATCCTAGGCCCATATTATTATATAATTACAAGTCACGCAACCGAAAGGCATGGCCCTCTTCCTGTGCCCCATGGAGGTGGGGCAGTTTTTACGACGAAAAAATTTTATATTAAGTATGAATTCAATTGTTTTTTTTTGACACCATAAAATATGAAGGATTTGCATGTGGATAATAATTAACAATGTAACGCGGTGTTACTTTGAATTTTATTTATAGATTAACGTAACTTTTAATATTTACTTTACAATAACATGTACAAAACTAAAAACAAATATTTATAAAAATAACAAAAAAAAAATTTAATCACAGATCTCATGATGTAATGTTCATTGCTTTTTAATTACTAACATCTCTAAACAAATATATTCAGCATATTCTAAATATTATAGGCCTATATCTCTAAACAATCCTGGATATCCTGGAAATATATAATATATAACATCCAAGTGTTATTATATTGGACTGGATATAGGTATAAAGAGGTCGTATAACTGTTCCATTGTGTTGAAGAGCAAGACACCTTTTGGAAGTAATTGCTTGCTGACATTACAGTGCTGGTACATTTTTTACAATTTGTGTATATCAAAAAGTGCCATATCCAAAAAAAAACAATTCGACTGACTGATTTGGATATGCATATAATTTAAGGGAAAAAGACATTAAAAATGAATTTATTTTCAAATCAAAATGTACGAATATGTTTTCCACAGAAGATTATATATAAATCTTTATACTTATTTTTAAAGCATCAAAATTTGCTTCCAGCGAATTGCAAAGCGCGCGCGATCGGGGCTTTTTTTCTATTACCAATTTTAATGAGACACAATAAGTAGCTTTCAACATTTTCCAGTCAAAATTTAAAAAAATGAATTTATTATTTTAACAAAAATTAATTTGCCAAATATGTATGTATATTATAGGATTGACTGTATAACAAGCGATGTCCACAACAGTCCACAAATTTTTTAGGCAAATAACTTAAACTTAGTGGTCGATTTTTACGGAGTAACGCCAAGAAACCAACTAATTTAGTACCATTAACATGCAGAGTTTTTCAAACTCAAAGCATCACAGTTACCTTTTCTTATTAACAAAATCCCTCTCACACACTGTGTAAAATATAGGATGAACTATTACTAAATAAACTTTTAAACCTTTTTAAGAAACAGAGTGTTTGTAGAAAAAAAGTGAATAAAATCATTTTTTACATTTTTCTAATTTAAAGAATATCACTATTAACACATGTGAAAAAATATCAAGTTGCTGCATTTTGCTTGTCAATGAACTACCTTCATAAATTGTTAAATGTGCTCCAACACCAGAAAACACAATATGTGATTCTGAGTGATAAGATTTAGATACAATATCACAAAAACCATGTCAAATTATTTATTATTTTATAAGGACCATAAAAAGACCAGCTCCAAAAATTGGGGCCAGAAATGCACATGGTCGATCCAATTTGGATAATAATTTGCTTTCTATAGTTGGAAAGTAACAGTTATTTTTGATCAACCATATTGAAACTTAAATGGTAACAACTATTGGTGCCTTTCATGCACCTGAGTAAAGAATTACCCATCCAATAGTAGGTTGTCCAGTTGTCATAGAAGTTTATAAACTACTTCTAAGTTAACACTTTACTTCAGATAATAGCACAGGTAGCGTCTATATTTTAGGTTCCAACCATATCGCATTTAACGCATCTATAATTGAATTTCAAATCGGGGAATTTCAATTACATCCTAATTGCCTGGATATGAGATATTATCCAACAACTGACCAGCTCGTTCATTGGTCAATCTCGTTAGACTGTCAGTCATATTTCCATCCTGACCAACCTCAGAAACTTGCACATCGGACATGGACAGACCTGATATGTCGGGCAAAGGATTCAGAATGTCCATTTCGGCGATGGTACAAGCCAATTCGGCAGAGTTAACTTGCTGCGTGTCGAGATTCATTATGAATCCTTGATTCTGCGCATTTCCCAAGGTAGCGGAAGTTGACGGAATCTGGGAAAGGAGATCTATATTGGGTGTGGGAAAATTCCAGTTATTAGATCCGCCCTCTACACGTACTGCTGCAAGTGGGTTACAGATATGTGATAAAGAAAAATAGAAGAAAAAAAACTCACGTTGCAATATGTTGTAGTGGATGTTTGGTTGATATTGGCAATTCATATCCGGCGATTGCAGAGGAGCGTCAATGGGATTGGGCACATATTGTGGAGACACTCCAGGGCTTGGTGTATAATTTGGACTCAGTGTACCATAAATTTGGCCGCCATAAGCCTCTGCAAGTTGTATATGATTGTTTTAATGAAAATTATTAGACATTTGCATTTAACACTTACCCTGGGGTTCTTTCTTTATTGGATTAATCATTGGCAAAGCCATATGCTGCTGAGTCATCTCTAAAAGTGGAATAAAGTACTTAGAATACTAAATGAAGAATTCCATGAATATAAAATAAAGTGTGTTGTTAAAATTAACAGACTGTTGCATAGAATGGAAAACCAGATTGTCTATAATTAAAAATAAGTAAAACCAAAGTTCTTGCAATACAAAGCTCTAACAAATAAATAAGCAAAACGAGCAAGCTCCGATTGGTGTGGTGTTTGGGTTATTGAGGTGTAATTTTTTGAATAAAAAAGAATTTTTAGTGTAAGAAAATCAATGAAAAACATGCTTCAATGATATTGTAGACACTTAAGATTCAACCCCAATAAAAATAAACTTTCAAATAGATCAGCATCAGAATTTTAAATTCTTTTTAAGAATTTCAAAATTGTTAGCTTCGGTAGAACTTTAACTTGTATTTATTATTTTGATAATCCCTCCCAACCATTTATTGCAAAACCTTGTCACAGTACGATTACTTTTACAAAAATCTTTATTGCTTAAGTAATTTAAAATTCCTCTTAAAGTTATAAAAGCCAAAGTTGTAAAGCTTAAATTTAGTTCTACGAAAACTCAAAAACAAAAAGCATGCAACTTTGATATCATACCTTTTTTCTGAAAGTTCACTTCCTGATTCACTGCAAATTTAGCCGAGACACAAAAAGAGGGAGAAAACAAATTTTTAAAGGAAAATGCAACCATATATTTGAATTTTACAAAAAGCAAGTATTACAAAAACTTACAAACCACAAATTTAACATTCTATTAAAAACTTTCCTAATTAACAACACACTATAGACTTTTCAAAATAATGTAAATTACGCAAGTGGATAACATAGGAATTGCGACTACCCATATTCTCCATAAAAACAACAAATGAATATATCACATTATGGTGTTAATCTTATAAAAAATAATAACAATTTGTGAACGACTTAATTTATTAAAGTAACAAATTCCATTAAATCTATTAATCAAAATAATAATTAAGGCAAAAACTTTTATAAAAAATTATAACAAACAATTTTTGAAATATTTAATTTATTTAAGTAACAAATTCCTTTAAAGCTATTATGGTAGATATATAAGAAGTAAACTACTAAGATGAAGATCTGAGTATTCAATTTATTGAGGAGTCATCGGTCATATGAGGAAAATAAAAAATTTCCTTTGTAAATATTTTATATTATTTTATAAATAACATGAAACTAGCTGCATTTGTAGCATATAATTATTTTATCTCGCTAAAGATAATTTTTTCATGAAATGAAAAGGTAATTTTTTTTTAAAATTTAATTAAACTTTTTGTCTAAAAATAACATAGCTTAAATGGTTAATGGTTAAATTTTATGGTTTTTAGCTACCTTTTTTTGTACAACTGACGGAAACATTAACCTACAGTCATCAATGATCAAATTATATTTGAAAAGTTTTTTAAACTCTTATGTACATGAAACTTCTTAGAAGTGGCGTCTATAGACATTTATTATCATGATCTTATTGACTTCCTCAATTTTATAACTTTAAAGTGAAATAAAATATTTTTTTATGATGTAACCGCAAATTGTTGGATATTCATTTTCGCCAAATACCATAAGGTTTCAGTATTCACTTGATGTCTGCAATACACAAAGGTGAATAAAATGAAAGTGATAACAAGCCCCGGGCAAGGCATAAATAGAAACATAACGTCGAAATTCATAACTTCGACATATTTATCAGAAAATACCTATTTCACAAGGTTTCAGTTCTTAAACCTTGTCAACTGGTATACCACCACCAATAAAAGAAAGCCATAATGAATATAAATATCAGACTTACTCTCGTGTTGAGCGATTTGCCTTAAAATTTGACTGGGATCATCAATTTTGGCTCTCTTTCGTTTGTTATGCTTTTCGCTTACACTCGATACTAAAACATAAACACACATTTAAAAAAACTACGAAAAAATAGTTTTGTTATAAAAGATTACTCAGTATCGCAAACTGGTTATCATGTTTTTTCGTATTATCATCAATCATCACGTATACATAACACTGCGGTCACCTGATTAAAAAAAGGTTGGCTATGTTTTTTTGGAAAATTTAAATTTTCAGGAGTTATGCACCAATCGTAGTAGATAACCAGGTATGCGATACTTACTACATAAATACGACCGGGTGCATATTTTAACTGATCCTCGAGGCAACTTCAGCACTAGTCAACAACTTGCCACCTTCCACGGGGGCGTAATAGCAACTAAACTCGTCGAATTCGCTTTGAGTAGCGTGCGGGGCCATCGCAGTATATAAAGCGTAGTTTTCAGCCTCTGTTAGATCCAAGTGCATATCTATGTCCTCATCCAAATTCAACGCGATAGGTCCCATAAGATCACCACGAGGAGGACTGTCTTTTAACGGTATTCGCACGCTATTGCTAGAGTGGGTGGATAAGTTGCCCGAACTTTTCGCTAAGCTACTGTCGACCGCTAGCGATTTGGTACTATGAAAAGATGGCGTGACGCTAGCTTCGCGAGACGCACCGGGCGTTTTACTTTTTCGTCCAAACAGTTTCGAGAAAAAACCTCGCTTTTTTGGGTTTGGCAACGTAGAGCAAGCGTGCGGCACCGGAGGAAGCCCTTTTCCCGGCGGCAGAAGATCGCCCTGCGATTTCGGGCGTTGCAAATTAAACGATTGCGACCTACCGACGCTGCCCGAATTACTACGGACTAGAGACCCCGCCCCTTGCTTTCCGGGTATACTCGACATTGAGCCCCCTATATAAGTCTCGATTTTTTTGGTGCGTTTTGGAGGTAAAGGGGGCAAAGCATTGTCCATCGCGACTTGATGTACGTCAGCGATTGAGGACGGTTTTGGAGGAAGACTTTTGTGATTCATATTGATCAGCGGATTTTTAAAAGCCAGTTGCAGGCTCGAGTAGGTTTTCGCGTCGTCAAACGACTCTCGACGTTCCACGACTTCCATATTTGTCGCTTCCTGCGACAATTTCGCGTGCGCGTCGGAATAAATCTCGTCCAACTCCGCGACCTGATTGATCAGTTCGTTGAACGATTTTTCTTCGGAATCGTTGTTGTTCAATATGTCGTCTCTATCCGCGGATACCGTATTTTCGTCTTTCTTGCTCTTCTTTATCTCATCGGACGTGTCAACCACGTTGCTGTTGGCGTCCGTGATCTCTAATTTACTTTCGCTTGGATTACTCAGCTGCCTTTTGGCTACCAGTTTCGCGTCGTTGTTCAGAATATTGTTGAAGAGTTGATAGTTCGCCTTTTTGGCCATGTTGCGTTTGAATGACCAGTACGGGGACCTACCTGCGTCCAAAGGCAACAACTCGAACGGTAACGGTTCGCTGGTGGCGCCATCCGACGGTCTCCTCAGCTGAATAAGCACTCTAACGGGTTCCGTCACGTCCAACGTACGATACCGGGGTGTCCTGAACCAAATGGCTGTCTGCTTGTGAACCTGGGATGGCTGAAAATCGGCAAGTCCTTCCCACACGACCTTCCCTTCTTTCTCTTCATAAAAACGGATTTGAATATCTTCTTTCGCCACCTACGGATGTCGTAACGTTACCCGAATTATACTGGATGTTTCGAAAAACATTCGTCATAGAAAAAGGTTCACATAAATGTACGTCCCGAAATGGTTAAGTTTGATACAACTAGATTTGTGAAGTCCAGTGACGTCCCGGAACGTATCTTAACGAGTAGCATTGTAAAAGAGATGTAAATATACAACTTCTTTGACTCTTGAATTGTTTTTGTATCCGATCTCGCTTTCGAGTAAAGAAATTAACATCACAAGTGATAAAGGTTGTTTTTATGGACGACGAATTTGCGGCCGAGTATGGGTAAATTAAAGTCAACAAATGCTTCAATATCATTAAACCAAGCAATTTAAGACATACTTTTACCAGCACTTTAAAAACAAAATTGGGGTGCTGACCTTTTCGCAAAGAAGAATCATGTCCTTGCGTCCTCCATCTACGAAGCTAACGCAGTCAGACAGCTTTACTATTGTGAGATCAGACATGGCCTTTTTGTCGTAAATGACTTCGCTGACTATGGGGGCAAGCGGGACATTAAACTTATTGGGTGTGTCGCCCTCTAGGAATACTTGGAAACATAACCGAACAGCATTGAGATCTATCGAGGTAGGTTGGTTTCGATGGCTGTAGCCCTCTGAAAAATTTGAAGTTTGATATGAGATTCGACCAAGTGATCGGGAAATTTTATTGCGTCAATGTTAAACATGGAAGAAATACTTACGTCGAAAAGGATCCACCCTAATTTCCTCCCTCTGCCTAAGAGCCTCTTCGATGTCTCTTTTCTTCACACACTGTATACCTAAATTCGAAAACTGTACCCTCATTGTATCGGGTGGGATTTCAAGAGTGCAAACGCCTCTTTTGCATCCCTCGCGTCCCACTAAGCTATGAGGGTGAGCCCTATATGAGACAAAAATCAAATCTGTATCTCGCAATTGATTAACACTAACTAAAACCTATTTCAATACTATACAATTACTTATTCTGTTTTATTGGAATCGGAACTTAATTAAAATATGTATTTTTAGAACTTTATCATTACTGTCTTGCCCCAATCATTCAAAAAATTAATTAGTGAATGAGGGAAGCAATAAATTCTGTTGTGCAGAATTGCCAAAGTTCGGCAAAAAACATTTGGATAAAAATTAAAAACGATCTGGAAACCATGCTTTAAAAACTAAAAAATAAATAAAAACGAATTTCTGTAATTTTCTTATTTATGTTACATTGACATTGCCATTGACGTTTTTAAATTTTGCATAGGTACTAAAATTCACTATTATATTGTTAAAAATACGAGGTAAGTTAAAAATAGGCCCCTGTTAATCAAAACAAAGATACAATCATATCCTAAACGCATATGCGCGCATTTTATTGCGTAAAAATTTTGGCGTATCAGAGGAGACGTCAGCTGTTTCAGGAAGTTTCTGTTTCTAAATATTAATCAATCAGTTCCTATCATCCTCACATCAGTTTTGGTTAGTCCCACAGTTTTGACATTTCCAAGCGTAGAACGTGATTGCCTGAACATTATGAAAATCCTGAAAAACTAACCAAAACTATCCCCCACAAATATGGAAATCAAAGCATGCATAAATCTTTTTTTTGCTGCCGGTTTATACTCATTTTACGAATGATTAGTTGTCATGTAGCCTTGTTGGAATGCATAAGACAAATTAAAAATTCAACAAACTATAAAAGTGGCGCAACAACGTTAAATGCATATTTATGTCTCAATTTTGAAGAAGGTTCAAGAAAGTTTCAAGAAAAACGTGATCAAAATTACATATTCAGTTCTAAATGAGTAAATACAGTTTTTTTTTTGGATCTGATGTTTGCCGCTCATATTCACCTTTTTTTGCTTAAACACATAATAAAAAACTAAAAACCGATGGTTCATATATAGCGCATTCAATGTCATCTTGGGATTTCAAGAAATGAAACATTACCATTTTGTTTTGATAATAAACTGTATGTTTATTTAGAAATACTTAAAACCAGTTTCTATATAATTACGCTATTTTATTGCCGCGGCGCTTTTTATGTAAAACTAACTAAAGGACGGAGTACATCCAGATAGCGAAATTTCAATGAAACAAGAATCTGAAATTATCTCTTTTAAGTTTCACTTAATACAATTAAAGCATAATATTACGTAAATTACTAACTTGTATGGGGCATCTTTGGTAACACAAGACACTACCACCACAGCTCGTCCTTGGTAACCAACCACCTGAATTTCGGGGTAGGTTTTGTTTTCAGGAGTGCTACTAGCTCCGGGAATTGAGCCAGCTGACCTCCCCTCACAGACATATCGAAACCGTAAGGCCTTCGAGGCAGGTTGCTCTATGATCTAAAAATAAGATAAAACCTTTTTTAATAAATGACCAGAGTGCCAAAAATAATTAATTTTGAGGCAGACATTAAAAATACGTATTTAAATTTATTATTTTAATTAGAAAAACTTTAATTGTTCAATTCCCCAATCCCATAGGGAACAATTTTCAAGATACTTTCCTACATTTCCCCATATTTCCTAGTATTTCTCTATATTTTCCTGTATTACCTAAATATTTTCCTATTTCTCCGTATTTTTCCTATTGCTTAACTATTTAATTTAATATTTTTAGTCTCGCTTTTTGTATGAAGAATCTGACCTAATACTTTTTACAAAACTTTTGGATTCCTTCTGCGTCGGTTTTTGTTGAGTCGAACTTGCTAACGTTTCGCCATTTGTTGGCTTCTTCAGCTTTAGTCAAGCTCTGAAGAAACCAACAGGATGACTGGCGAAACAGTTGGAATCCAGAAGGTTTGTAAAAGTATTACAGTAGCCCGTGGATATTTCTTTGAAAAATCTGACCTAATTTTTTTTACTAAATAAATATAGATAGATATCAATTGATTTTAAAAACACTATTATTTCTTTCAATAACTCTAAACGATTGACAAAAATTAATTTAAATACAAACTATTATTATACCATTCGAATAAATAACATAACAATAATATAAGAAAAAAGATTAAATTACGGCATTTGCACATTTAAGCCTCTAGATCTCGCAAGTTTCGTTTTCTCCTTAATTGGTCAATACCACCAGAGTTTTTTCTGGATAAAAGTTTAAAATTTGACTAGAATTTCGTCTAATGGTCTATTAAACCAAAACTGTAGAAGAAATTCTATTCTTTTTTAGCAAAAATTAACCCACTTTCACCCGTTGTTAGGAGGAGCTAAACTCGATAGGGTCAAAAAATCTGAATTCAATTATCGATACTTATACGATACGATATACTTTTCAGTGAGCTATCATCTAAGCGTATCTCTAGTTTTATTTGGAAATGACATTTTTGATATTTCTGCCGAAATTTAAGGTTCTTGGAATTCATCAAAATGTAAGATAGGCAGATATAAGCCGTTTTAAAGGTGGTAAAGTTAAAAGTATAAATTTTCAAATTTCCAATATTCTGAAAACGTAGTTATGCTCCAAATGTAACAATTCAAGCACTAAAATAAAGGCATTAAAATTAAATTTCAAAGGGTGGTTGATCCGGGAGCAAGGGATAAAAAGAGCTCTTAATAACTTTCGCTTCAATAGTATTTCTAATGGACAAACGTATTTTTGGTGGAGAAAAATTATTTCATTGGTTTTCACAGCTTTTCGATTGGCCAACCTCTACAACTTGAATTTTTAATTTTATAGAGAATACAAAAATGTAAAAATGTATTAAAAAAATTGCACCTAAAATAATAATATTGGTGCCAATTTTTCATTGATGTGGTAAACTGAAACTTATCTTTTATTTGAAATCCTCTAAGATTTATGAATTTGAAGAAATTTGATTTCTTCAAGTTGTCAATGTAGTTGCGGACACTTGCGACAGCGCCGCTATTGCCCTTATTGGAATACCGGGTATTATAGTTATATATACAGAAAAATTACCCATTCTATTTTATTAAATTTAATTTTACGCCCGGAAAAAATGTTTAGTTCATTTTATATTCATTGAGGCACAAGTTTTAATATTTTCACATAGGTTTTTACCGATTTACCATAAATTTATTAAAATAGTTGCTTATACTCCTATGGTAAAAAAAGGGTACAACCCTTATTGGACTTTTAAATTTAAACATATTAGAGCATAATTTGGTAATTTTACATATATTACCAAATATTTCCTGGCATTTCCCTGTAGGAAGAAAACTATTTCCTAGGTGGTTTCCCCCCTCAGGCTGTTGAAAGTTTGGACCAACTAAAGTTTTAATGCGTAGAGGTTCCTTGTGTTAAGTTCTCTGGCCAAATACGGGAACTGAATGTCACTAATTAGAATAGAACTAATTTTTTGAATAATTTTGTTATTAGTGTGTGACGATGAAAATGTTGTGACATACCAAAAAAATTAAAGTATTGGAATCTTTGAGTCTTCCTTAAGTGCGCTCCTTGACATTAGTACAAAGAAAGTCACTAGAAAATGACAAGTTTCGTCGACCATGATTAAAATTTTATTTGATGTCGAGCTGTTTTTGATACTTACGGATTCAACTCGACAATAATAAATGTAATTTAAAAATTTTACTATAGAAAAATATGTCCAATAGTTCCACTTTTTCACGAAAATAATTTTAAACAACAAATTTGACGCTTTAATTAAAAACATGTAAGTGTCTGGTTCAAAGTAGACCGTCTCACCTTTACGTGAATTTGGCTTTTCTTAATGCTAATACTTGGTTGGGGGACAGCTGGCGCAGGCATCTCGGCATACATTGGTCCTATCTTATGCGGTCCCGCTGATTGGTTGAATCGGCTTCTAGCGTTTGACTCCGTAAAGCACGGATCAGTTTCTTTAATAACTTCAACTGGAATTTTAATTTATCAGGTAAATCGAAACAGCAGCAAGTAAGAATTTTGCGACGCATTTAAATCTGATTAGAACATAAAAGGTAGCAGATCGTATACGCTGGAAACACCGCGATTCAGTGGACACCGCCATGTGTATTTTTAGGTGGGTATATAAATATATCGCTAGCATCAGATATTTATTAATAAGGCAAGTAAAGTCCTAATGTATCACCTATCTCAGTGATTCGCTTAATGCTTAATTTAATATCTTCTTATCATTAATTATAACTGGGGTTTTATCAACAGCGACTCGGTAATTCAAAGGGTGATTCAAAGAGGCAGAGATGTCCATTGGCAATTGTGACTTAAAATTTGAAATTATATTTTGGTACTTTATTAAATATGATGGAAAATGACATTTTTTACGTCACTTTTTTGATAGTTTCACCTAAAAGTTAGAAAACAATAGTTTATTGATAATTAGTAGGTAGTTTTTGATTTTGATAAACGTATAGGTACTTACGACGAAAACGGAATACAATACAACCTTGAAAATCCGAACATGCGTTGATTCGCATCTCCACTAATCCGACCAACGAACGCTCTAAGCCTTAGAGCCTAAGACTCTAAGGCATAATGCGGAGCAATCTTGATAATCCGAATCGTGCGTTCAGTGTTTAAAATGACAGAACAAAGTTCCACATTTTTTTCTCTAAATTAAATAAAAAAGATGGAAAAGGAGTTGAGACTAAGTTACCTTGTGTGGTCGCCTGAAATGTATGTGACAATACTCAGTATTATCCAGCATGGGTGTATGTATGCTAGTGTTATTTATTTTATTTAAATTAAATTATAAATTAAGGAAACATATGCAATGTATAATTAAGACTCTAATATCTCGCGTGAAGTTTATCTGGTAGTTTCTGATAACCAATTGTACCAAATGCCTTTTAAAGGTCCAAAAACGCTGCCAAAGGCGTTTACTCGTCTTGAAACGTTCCAAAACTAAAGTCACCTACGACTGCATAGCCATCTATACGTGTCCCAGCGTTTAGGATTATCAAGGTTATACTGTATACACAATATAGTTCAAATGAAACACCCGGTATAAATAATTATAAAATATCACCGATATACTTAATTGATTTTTGATAATTGGCGCTTGAAGGTCGGATTAACGTTAAATTACAAAAATGACGGTGTTGAGACAACTTTCAACTTCAAAAATTTGCCATTTTGCAATATTAATTAGTGTCTACGTAATTCTCAAAACAAAAAATAAATCATATATAATGATAAAAATACAATTAAAACCAAATTATTCTAATCGATGAGTGCAGTATGTGTAAATATTGATTTGTTTCTTATCAAAAACATGAAATTTCCGTACAAAGTGTTGAATTTATAACAGCGCAGAAAACGTATTGACCTTATTTGAGTGATACTGATGTTTAAAAAATAAAAAAATAAAAAACATAATTTTAGAATATATTCCTTTAGATATTTGGCGTTAATCAAAATATAAACAAACTATTTCAGGCCAACCTCTAAGGTCAAAAGTTTATTATAAACGAGGAATGGAGCAAAAGTTAACCACAACCTATAAACCTAAAAATTTTAATTTAATTAATTGGTAAGCTTTGGGTTCTTGTCAATTTTAAAAAAACATCATTTTGCTGACTTTGTCAGGTTTTCCTAGGCAATAAACTAGAATCATGGACTAAATGACCAAGTTTTAAGAATTTAGCACAAAAATGATTTACATATAGAGAGAGAGATGTTTTTTCTGAAATTCCAGTTGTGCTGGATTGATACAAGTTTTGATCGCAGAGCAAAACAAACATCTCGGGATACACGGAGTATTTTCAATATATATTTTGTCATCATTTCATGCGCGTTGCTTCGGCTGTATAAACTGCAAATAGTTTTAGCTAAACGAAACTAATGTTTCAGTAGTTTTTGTCCAAAAAAAAAAAACTAGAATACTTACTGACATCACTTAGATGGGATCCCGAATCATACGAACCAGCCGAACGACTTTTCAGAAATTCTAAATAAAAAGAGAGGGTAAAAGTAAAAAAAAAATACCTAAAAAGTACAAATATCGGGTATAAATAAACAAGCGTGAAAAGTTAATGCAATCGACAAAGAGGACACAAGCAAGAAAAAATCTAGCCAACTCAAAACATTCTATATATCTATACAGTATATATAACATTCGATTTCTCAGATAAGATTTCAAATAAGATTACAACCTTCTGTATATTTTTTTTAAGCACAATGCTTTTAAAAAAGTTATGGATATGTGAGACCAAGTTTATTTCAGAAAAACTAATAAAACACCCAATAAATATTTCGGTCACTTTGTTTTATTGCAATATTCTTTCTTTTGAGTGTATGAGTCAATGTGTTGTGCCTATTGTTATCCCTTCACCAATATTGCAAACGGTTTGCCAAAGAGGTCCCGGTAAAATACTCGTAGCAAGGAAAATTTTTTATTATTTTACCGAATGAAAAAATAGGCATTATGTATACAACAAATGAGATGAGGAACTGTCATCTGATGTTATAATTTAATATTCGACGATCCAATCGTTCAAGAATTCAAGATCGCACATTTTCTCATGTTTTTGCTAGCTGGAACATCAATTGGCACCATTGAAAGGCTAGCAAACCATCGTTTAGAAATTCCTCTTAGTGATTCTTACTTTCTTCACTTTTTCTTAAGGTGCCCTGATCATCGTTGGCAGGCTTTCCTTGAAAACTTGGCGAGCACTAGTTATATTTTTGTCTTGCTACATTTCTGATACTATATATCACTCATCATAATGAAAGATTTTCAGCTCTCTTCGGTACTCTTTATACGTCATAAATATTTTTGTTCTCAGCCAACAATTTCATCTCGTTCCAGTGCTTAACGGTTATGCTTTTCCCAGGCAAAATATTCATTTTTAAATTAACCTATAGAAGTTTTCTAGTTATGAAGTAACTATCATCCTGCCATATTTATTAGTATTAGTAACTATCATCCTGTAATATTTATTAGTATTGGATTTTCAAGAGAAGAATCAAAAATAATTGGATGAAATTTTCCATTTTGTTACTCTACACTTTTCTGAAATAGCCTATATTTGAGTACCTATGTTATTTATTGACACAAAAACCATAACCTTTTCAACGTTGCATAACATTGCTAATCGTTCTCGAAATATATTTCATTTTATTTACCTATTTACAATTATTTTAATTTCTACATATACACTATCAGACAAAAGTAGAGCAACATCTTCAAAAATAAGATATATTTAACACAAGTCCCAACATTATGATTATACATGCAAGGTATTGTATACAAATACAATACATTTGAGGTCATTAAAGTAGGCTATGATATACTGATGATCACAAACAAAACAAAAGAATTTATTTTGATATTAGTTTTAAATGTGTATTAGCGACGCGTCAAAAATAGAGCAACATTTCTAAAATTTGTTCAAAAAGACGCTTTTAGTAAAAGTAAATGCAAAAATAACTCGTGTTGGGTTTATTTTGTGCTAAGTTAACCATTTGTGTGCAGGACTAGTTATGCCAAGAGGAATTCCAATTTCAAAATACCTAAAGCAAAGAGTAGTAAGTGCATTTATGGAAGGTACCAATCAAGCTGATTCAAGACAGTTTAAGTTACCTCGGTACAGCGTATCTAGAATAATTTCATCGTATAATGACAGAGGGACACTTAAAAAAATTGCGGAAATCCGGAAGACCCAAAAAAAACAACGGTTTTGAGTGACAGGCGCATTAAAAGAATTGCTTAACAAGATCCTTCGAAGCCCGCACCTCGAATAATTGCCGAAATTCCAGAAATTACGCTTGGCATAGCAAGAAACAGAGCAGCAAGGTTGGCGTTTGCACGGCGGCATTTAAACTGGACCATCAATGACTGGAAAAAAGTTCTATTCAGCGATGAAACGCGATATAAAATATTCAATTCTGATGGAATGCGACGTGTGAGGCGACCAATTAATACAAGGTTTAACCCTAAGTACGTAACACCTACAATTAAACATGGTAAAGGCAGTGTTTGTTTATAGGGATGTTTCTCATGGAATGGAATAGGTCCTATACACTTCATTAATGAGACAATGGATCGATTTGTTTATAGGGAGATTATGCAAAATGTTATGCTCCCTTATGCAGAGTGGGAAATGGCGTTACGTTTTATTTTCCAACAGGACAATGATCCAAAATACTCTTCACAACTCGTTCAACAGTGGTTTGCAGAAAACAATCTTAGAGTTTTGCAGTGGCCGGCACAGTCGCCAGACCTTAACCCAATTGAAAATCTCTGGGAAGAAGTAGAACGTTGCATTCGTACACAAATGTTTCCAAATAAACAATCGTTGATAGATAAAATTAAGTTTGGACAAATCTTCCAGAAAATGTCACTCAAAAGTTGATAAAGTCAATGCCGCGCAGTTGCCAGCAGGTAATTCTCAATAATGGATATTCTATAAATTATTAAGGCATAATTTTAATTATTATGATTGTACTAAAATGTGTGTTTAATGTTTTTTTTAAATAGAATACAATACAATACTATTAAATACAACTTTTTGAAAAAAAAAAAATAAAACACTGTTAAATACAATTTGTTGCTTTATTTTTGTCGCCTTCATTTTCGTCAAATTTTATATTAATTAATATTTAGCTTTTACCAACTAACTTACGGTACACACAAAATGTTGTGAAAACTTACTTGCTATGCAAAGAAAGTATTTTATCATAACTAGCAAAAAATATGAACCAAATTTTTTTTTTATTTAAAAAATACTAAAAAATATGTTTGTTGCTCTACTTTTGTCCGATAGTGTACATAATTTATTTTAGACATTTTTGATTTACCGTACAATATTACAAGAATTAAATATTTAGAAACAATAACTAAAATAACGAGCCCATGTTTACTTATATGAACTTTCAATCATTACAGGCTGCACATTTAATTCACATTATCCATTTAATAACAAACGTCTAATTTTACTTGGTTAAAACGGTTTTATGTATGGTTTGGAAATGTTTTCTAAAAAGTTATATATGAAACTATACACAATAGTTTTGCTAACATTGTAGATTTCCGGTAACAATAAATGATTGAATATTGTTATAATACTTGAATTAGTTACTTAGGTTGTTGTTTTTCACCGGACGATGTAGGTATAATTTTTTAAAAATTATTAACAGTATTCTATGTGAAAATTTTAATTACTGTTTACAATGTAAGTAATATTACTAAGTGCATTACGAGATCATAGAACATAAAACGATATTTTTCATGTACCTGTATCTAAGGTCGCGATAATTACTAAGTAATGTTTTTTTTTTGTAACGATAATTCCGGTATCATTTTATCATTAAAAACGAAAACAATAGATAATGAATAAACCGAAATTTTGCATGGGTACGACTTGTAAAAATGTCTGAAAAACCTACACAGCCAACACTTGCCAGAACGGGGTTCATTCATCGCTAAAATTAGATTGCTACTACGAATGTCTGGAATGTCTGAGAAAAATATGATATCTACACATCCTATCATATCACATTATTGTAAAACCAAAAACAAACAAAAATACCGATTGTCTCCCAAAGTTATTGATCTAGTGTTTATACACGTAGATACTATAATATATAACTCGGCAAACGCAGCTCATTAATTGACCTGTTTCTAAAATTATTTCACATAAATTGCTTTCAGTGACAATGCATATAAACGATGACGATGTTGCTTCTTATATTTCTACTGTAAAATTTACATCTAAAATAAATAAAAAAGGAAAGATAAACTCCGCTTATTTAATACATCAAAAATTATATAAACATTTTTTGTTTAATTTCCACAAAGTTATAAGTAACGTGGAAAAATTATAAGACATTCTCAGAATTTCTAGAAAAATAATAATAAACTGGAATGAAAGATATTTTCAAAAGAAAATTTTTTCGCCATAATTTATTTAAAGTTTTAAATGGCAAAAACAATAACAAACATTGATCATTATTAAGTAACTATCATGTGCAGCAGTTGAGAAGCATTCATATGTTTTATTACTACGATGAATATTTCTGTTAAAAACATATCTCTCCATCCAGACCGGTCTAGACTCTACTGGAATTAATTCGTACTGAGTTTTGATTACATTAATTACATGAGCGTACATTTTTGGGGTTTATACTAATGCGGCACACTTTGCTTTTAATTAGGCATATATATATATATATATATATATATATATATATATATATATATATATATATATATATATATATATATATATATATATATATATATATATATATATATATATATATATATATATATATATATATATATATATATATATATATATATATAATTTCTATATGATTCAAGTCGCAGTACTAAGGTCGTAATCTAGGAGGTATATTACCGGATTTTTTATGGCCTCGTCTACGAAATGGTTATCATGCGATTTTTTTCGTAAAACTCCAACTAGATGTTTTTTGTATAAGTGCCTTGAAAATAAAGGTCATGCCGACTATAGTGATTAAGGAACTCTTGGAATACATCTTTTTTGCTGTTGATCGTTGGAACTTTTTTAGCTAAAGTGCTGTGATAATCAGCATTAACGCTGTTTGGGGGCATATTCAGAATAAGAGATTTTTTTACTCAAGAAGTTCACTTGCATGTCTTGATGGTAGTCTAAGGTCTAGACTAGTCCAGTCTAGTCTTTAATGTATTTTCCTGAACGTAACAAAGCGTTTGGCAAACAACCTTCCCTCGAGCTACAGTGTAAAATGGATATTCTTTTTCCTCTAGATACAGGTACATTCAAAATGCAGTTCGACGAAAAATTTTTCCATAGTGATATGATTGATGATTTTAAGTTAAATATTTTTGGGTCCGTTCTACAAATCGTTGGGTCTCTTTAATGTGACTACGCTTGCCAATATGTTTATTTTTAAATCCGATTTCGTACAGAAAACATAACAAATAATCACTGTAACATCACTAAT